AAAACTTTTCTGGAGCAAGCAGTGGCCATATTTCCCATGGAAACAGTGCGTAAATCCATAGATTCGTGGCCAAACACATTAAAGGCCTGTGTAAAAGTCAAAGGTGGCCATTTTGAATAGAATGTTGTTTTTATTTTTGCTAAGATTTTAATAAATATATACATACTATAAGTTTTTGTAATATTACATTACTTCATTAAAAATGCATTTTCATTTGTAACAGAACTTATGGCCATACTAGGTATATTTAATTTATGTATTTTATATACTTATTTTGTACAACCAGTGCGTGTTGCCAGTGATGACCTACGGAACCGAGACGTGGTCCGTCACTGCTGGCCGTATGAGGACGCTCAAAGTCGCCCAGCGAGCTATGGAGAGGGTTATGCTCGGAGTTTCTCTGCGTGATAATCGTAGAAATGAGGATATCCGCAGTAGAACCAGAGTGACCGACATAGCCCAACGGGTTAGTAAGCTGAAGTGGCAATGGGCCGGCCATATAGCTCGAACAACCGACAACCGTTGGGACAGAAGGGTTCTCGAGTGGCAGCCTCGTAAGGCGTAGTGTAGGGCGACCCCCCACTAGATGGAGTGACGACCTGGTAAGAAGTCGATGGATGCAGGTGGCTCAGGACCGTGCTTTGTGGCATACCTTGGGGGAGGCCTATTTTCAGCAGTGGACTTGTGAAAGGCTGTAATGATGATGATGATGATATACTTATTGTGTATAGAGGGGAATTTTGTCATAGTTGCCACACTTTGCAATCGGGTTGGTGACTGCAAGTCTTTGTTATTTTTACTATAAACATTTGATATGTGATATGGTGTCCATCTTCTGGTTCAGTTTTCCTCCGTCACCTCTTACGACACCCACGGGATTATGTTAAGAAGTAATGGTGACTGCAGACGTGCTCAAGAAAAAGCATGCTTAAAAAGAGCATGCTCTGCAACTGTTCATATTTGCCAGCAATAAGCACGGTTAAAGCATGAGACGTGCTATTTGGCACCAGGCTCTCGGCCGAAATTGATGTACAAAGATATAGTGACAGTGCTATTCGTACAGAACTTAATAAAATAATCATATTGCTTGCAACCGAATGGCGTAAAATGTTTTTTCTTCCCCCCAACGCGACATATCGAGGGTTTTTTATTTTAAATTGACGCAGCAACTGTCGCGAATCGAGATCGATTCGATAAAACATGCTCATGAACAATCCTGTTCAGTTCAGACGCACTCCGAGCACGCCCTTTTACCCGCACCTCAGTTAGCATGCATCGAAAATCAAACGTCGGTTGATTTTTGAGCACGCTCAAAATAAAAGCATGCTTTCGTGCAAGTAGTGAGCACGTCGGTCCGTACCTTTATGGATCATCTTACGCCGAGACATCATCAAGATTATTCTCTGCACGAAACATATGATACCTTGAAGCTATAATTCTATTTACGCTTCCTCACCTACATTATTATGTACACTGTAACGTATGTTTTGATAGTTTTGTTTATAAAGTGTATTTATTTTTGAAGTGATGTTCGTCGCGTGTGATACGAAAATAACTTTTCTATGTCTACTACACGTGTAATATTATATTTTGATGATATTCGAGCGTTGTAGGTATCGTTACAATTCACTTGCTGCTTTTGCTTTTTAACGTTTGCTTATCACATGTGCAATGTTGTGTGCTTATTGTAACGATCGTGAATCGTGATCGTATGACAGTACTTTACTGTGGATATTAAACGAAGAGGTTATTTAGTAATTTATATCTTTATAGGTATATGAAATTACAGCGTAAGTTTGTTCGTATTTCTACTCCTAATCAAACGGCTTGTCCGATTTTGATGATTTTTTATGTATGCATCCATTTACATTGTATGATGATTAATAACATAATATATTATGTCAGTATAACATAGATATTATCTTGAAGTGACACTATTAGTTTGTAATATGAGGTTAATAATATAGATCTATATAAAATGTGTCGATGCGCCATTTAAGTTCTACGAGACAACTAAAAACTCTAAACCACTATTTCAGAAATGTAACCCATTATTTTGTGACAATTTTATGTATATGTAAGCAACTACTTATTTCTTTTTCGGAAATGTGCTTTAAAATTGTACCTTATCGTATCTCTAGAAAATTATAGTAAAAGATATAACATGAAATTTAGATTGGAAAATAATGTTCGGACTTTGTATAAATTTTAATTTATATTTTCGGGGAAAGCACTTTTAATTCAGTACTTCATAAGCATCGTTAGTAAAAACATCAGAAACAGCATTAAAATGAACCAAAAACTGTACAAATACTTCAGATCTTTCAGATGAAATACTAATTTAAATAAATATATAATATTATATAAATCAAATATTTCTGCAGGCGGAATAAAATTGTTTCATTTGTTATTTGAAATATATATAATATGTATTTTTATTAAATATTTCATATTTTAATTAAATGTTACAACATTTTTATTGCTTTAATTAATTCATATTTTTATTGCTATTAATTACCATCTAAAACAAACATTTTCAGCGTCACTAACTATAATGTATAATGCGGCGCTAAAAACAAATACAATTTAATATAATTTACTATAAAGCATGTTTTAATTTTTCCCATTTACATCTTACAAAACTTAGAATCTTAATTTGTTGGTACGTATCAAAAGCATTTCTCATTTATTATTATATTTACAGATTGGACTTTCATATATTTTAAAACATAAACATAAACACTCACGCCTGTCACCCAGACGGGTAGGCAGAGACTACAGACTTCCATTGAGCACGATCCTGGCATATATCTCTCGCCTCTTCCACATCCATATACCTACGCATACATGCCCGTCGGTTAAGGGTACTCTTAATTTGGCCCTTTTTAGTATATCGCCAATTTGGTCGACAAACTTCCGCCTAGGACGTCCCTTTCCGATTCTTCCATTCACTTCTGCAACATATATTTGCTTTGTCAGTCTTTCCGCATTCATTCTTTCTACATGACCAAACCACCGAAGCATTCCTTTCTTAATCCTGGTCACTGCATCATCTTGCAAACCACACTCTTCTTTATCACCCTTCACTCAGATTCAGCCTTACTCCTTAGCGACCGCATTTCTACTGCATTTATTATACTCTCTCTCGTGCTTCTTCTGCCACACCCAACTTTCACTACCATATGTTAAAGTAGGGACTGATAAAGCATTGTGAATTGTCATACGTGCCTTTTTTGACACATTCTGACTCTTCTCAATAGAGTGTAGGGCCCCATTTATTCTATTTTCTGCATTCACTCGTCGTTCTATATCTTTATCACATCTCCCATCCCTGCTAAATACGCAACCCAGATATACAAACTCATCTACTTGCTCGATCAACTCCCCTTCTATTCTTATTTCACATATCGTCTTACTTTCTTCTCTTTCAAAAACCATAACTTTCGTCTTACTTGCGTTCATTTTCGTACCCCTTTCTTTTAATGACCTGTTCATTAATGTAACCATCATTTGCAACTCGGCCGCCGACGACGCAAGTATGACTTGATCATCGGCGTACAAAAGGCATTTGATGGTTAACTCACCCATTCTTAACCCGCACTCTTCAACTTTCAAATTTTCCAAACAACTGCCCATAAATAGGTTGAACAGCCACGGGGAAGCTACACAGCCCTGTCTGACACCTTTATGGATGCCAAACCAGTCCGAGTAGACCCCGTTGAATCTAACACAAGCACTCGAGTCCCTATACAGAGACTTTAATGCCTGTGATTAAACACGCTCAACCTAAATGCGTTCAGCGTTTGCCATAACACATCCGTCTCCACTCTGTCATAAGCCTTTTCCAAGTCCATGAACGCACAAAAAACTTTTTGGTTTTTCGCCAAAAACTTCTCCGCGATCATGCGCATGGAAAAGACTATCTGTACACCCCATTCCCTTTCTAAATCATATATATTACAGTTTTTATAACTCGCTTTGACTTAACTGTTAGACTGTTCCAAAACTTTTCAGAAATAATACGAGACCTGAGTCTAGCACTTCCTTTTTTTCTAATACTTCGTTGGCAAAGCTAAGCTTTACGTAGCGTAGCATCGTATGGCTGCGACAAAAAATACCTCGAAAATTTTGTGGTTTTTCTATTTCACATATTTTTTAAAGTTTTATAGACAAACCAAAATTTTAGTGTATGATTTGTGACTATATGACATTGGATTGCATAAAAGGAAAACGCGATAGATATCATGTAATTTTCTCGATAGAAAAAAAAATTGCAAAGTAGGTAATTAGTTACATTTCTCCATGACATGACACCACAATATTTTTACGAATAAGTTCATGGAATTATTTTTAAGGAATATTCATATCTAACTTCTCATAAACTACTTTTTTATCCATAACGAAGTTTTGTTAATAAAAATAAAAATGTTGTTTGGCGCTTACTTAGTTATTTTCCGAGCGCGTGCTTGGTATAGCTATCTCATAATTCGCGTATTATGAAGTCATTGCATCACTTTCATTTTGACTCTCCCTCAGTCGTTCATGAGCTTCACCGACAAAGGAATAAGCCACGCCCCCAAAACTACGATTCATTTTCCAGGTATCCTCTTAACCGTGAAAGTACGACGCTCCTATATACCAGCATAAAATAGCAGAATGATGTTGCTTTGTTTTGTATGGTGAATGTCGAGAACCAGACATAGTCTACTGGTAACGAGACCTTTCATCTACTGGTAACGAGGACTACTCAGGGGTGACAAAACATCTTTTGCATTTTGATCTTAATCGTGGATAAATGTAGGTGTCTATGAGCCACAGTATCCACTTACCATTAAGTAGAATATGTGACCATTTGTCCCTCTGTTTAAAAAACATGAAATTCGCATTCATCTAATAATGTGGTAAACATATTGTACCAAACCATTTGTACTACACCCCACTTTTATTATGTAAAGAGTAAAAACACATTTTTAATTTTTTATTGATTATTTTGTCTACAGGAATCCTGGCATGACCCGAAGTCAACAGAGTCTGGCTCCGTGATCAACATCCTGGACATTGGTCGTCAGAACTTCGCAAACGGCGGTGTCGTCTCGCGCTACCTCTGCGATCTGGCACAATGTCTCAACCTCGTCAAGTACGACTACAAAGATGTAGTGCCTAGCGTGAGTTGAACCTCAGTTTTAAGACACACATACACCGCTCTAAGGCATAATCGTACGTAGTGAACTGATTTTAGCCAACATCAAAGAAAAAAGATTGGTTGACCCTGCAGGCCATCACTGAAACTTCCCACTCATTTCAAATACAAAGCGCTCCAAATTTCACCAAATTATGTTGCGAAATCTCGAAGTTATGTTAAAAAAATCATTTTTTTTTTTCAAATGATATCTCACGAACAAATGAACCGATTTTTATTTTCCAAACGGCATTCGACGTCATTTTTGAGGTTAAGATCTGACTAGTTTTGAAATCGATCGGTAAAGCCGTTTAAAAGTTATTCCGAAAGAACAGTTTTACAAATTTTTATTTTTGAGATTTTTCAAAATCTACTCGTCCGAATCAGTTCGTATTATCACCAAATCTATTCCACATTGATATCTTTAGAACGCCGCAAACCGCATCTCAATCGATCAAGATGTTCAAAAGCTATGAAAGGTTTACACACTTACACACACACGTACTACATACATTCATCCGTACGGACATCTACGTGAAATTAGTCAGAATAGTTTCCTGGGATCTCAAAACGTCGAGATCTGATAATAACTCGATTTTCGAAAATCGGAGTGAAACCAATAACTTTCCTATTTTTGAAAATTTTTCATTTTCTTAGGGAGAAGTTAAAAAAGAAAAAAGGAAAATGTTAATGAAAAAAGATCACGCAATATTCGGCAAATGAAAACCAATTTGAATTTCTCTTAAAAATTTTAATTTCCCTTTGAATTAATTGGTTATACTTCAGACGTGGTCCCATAATTTTGAAGAAAATCCCTAAAAGTAAAAAAATTGGGGATAAACATTAAATCTTTCTATTTCGACAACGTTCTAGTTCATTATCTTATCTTAGAACACTTAAGAGAGTAAAATAATTATACTGTCAAAAAGAACACAAACCGACATCAAAAAAAAACTTCTATAAACTGTGTCTTAGCACTGACTTCTGAAGCTGTTATTTGAAAATTATTTAATCTTTTTAAGTTCTTTAAAGTCTGCTTTTAAAAAAGTTTGGGAAATCCAAAAGTGCACGCCTCATAATCTCGTTTGATTATTTATATCGAATTTTGAAAAATGATAAATGTTTTATTATTCCGCCGTAAGCCTAGTTACAATCCCGAGGAGGACGATCGCTCGAACGTGGTCGCGAGCCATCTTTACAGCAGTGATAGGACATTGGGAAACTGAGTACTGCCCTCGGCACGTCCTAAATATGCAAAGATATGGAGCGCCGGTTGCTTTCTGAACGAAGACTTCGATACCTATACATATGTAACGTAATTAACGCACACCCTCAGACACCCCAATTAGTATATTATGTTATAATCGTAATACATACACTGAATTTTTAGTTAAACATTGCAACATTCATGCACTGATTATTTATCAAATTAGTTATACTAATTCCGGAAGAATGTTGTGGTCACAGTACAAATCCACGAACGCAAAGACTTTAACATGCTTGAAATAAAGTTCATTTTTCTTTATTTTTATTGAATGACAGAATTAGTAATAATACAAATAAAACTGCACTCTTAAAAGTCTTATTGCCTTAAGTTACGGTCCATTTCAGATTGTTTTGACTGTACAGATTTAGTATGACTGTAATTTACGTAGTTAGTTAAATATAAGATTTTGGGATAAAAAATTACCTATATTAAAAATGATAGGAATCGATTCAGTAAACGATTCTGAACAAACTACTTCCAGGATGTGCGTTAATTATGTTACATGTTATGTATCCTCTGCGCTGTTGGCTACCATCGTGAAGTATTACACATCTATTTACAAATACGGGTATGAGTACGTATATGAGCGCCTTGGTTTTTGTGCTCGTACTTACATCATGATGCATTCCATTCACATTTCTTTTGTAGATTAGGGGTGCCAAACACGCACACAGTCCTCCTGATTATAAGTGGATGCTGTGGCCCATAAACATCTACATTTATCCTCAATTAAGAATCAAAATGCAGATGCGTTATAACCCCTGAAGACTAAGATGGAATGCCTCGTTTCTTGTAAAAGGGTCTTCCGTTCTCTACACTTACCATACGAAACAGCAGCATTAAGCTGTTATTTTACGCTGGTATTCTATGAGAGCGTGTCCCTTCCCTGGTCGAGCCGACGTATTTGTGCTACAACTATAATATAGCTGCAGCATGTCTCTATTACGTATAAAACATGACAAGTTCTACTTGTAAGCCGGAATCCGGACGGTGGGGGATATCGTGACACTAATATCAATAAATTTCTTAAAAACATCGCTTTGTCTTATTTTGACCGCTTTGAACTGCCCTTGGTTAACTTGACGGCCTTTTGCTACGCCGGAAGTGATCCGCCGGATGTTTTTTAAAAGCCTGTACATTTGCAATACCTGTTCATTATGCAACTGCGAAGGCATTATAAATTGATGACCATGAAAGTGACTATGTAAGTCAAGGATAAATTTTAATAGGTAGTAACGTTAACTGGTAAATATGAAAATATTTTTCAGTTTTAAGAATAGAAACTATCTACATATTGATTGAATTATAACCACGTGCTGCACGACCAGAGTTGTCACTCCGCATTGTTCATAAAAGTTTAAATTTATGTATATGACTAGGTTCAACATACTGTTAACTAAAGAGCTAGACGCGCTTATACGAAAGTTTGTCAAACAAATTGGTAATATATTGAATATGGGCCAAATTAAGTTTAAGAGCCTACTGTATGCGTAGGTTGGTTATATGGATGTGAAAGAAACGAGAGTGGTGTATCAGAATCGTTCCAAAGTCTGTAGTCTCTGCCTACTCCTCTGTCTACCTAATAGGCGTGAGAGTTTATGTTTGTATTTATGTTAAGAACTAAAATAAAGTACGGCCTACTTCTACTGAATCCAGTATATTCCCTATAGAAAAAATTACAAGTAATATCCACTACTCTACTCCCAATCTTTTTTTGTATAAGAGGGGGCAAACGAGCATGCATTCAACTAATGGTAAGTGACTACCACCGCGCATGAACAACTCCAACAAGGGGTATTGCTAATGCGTTGCCGGCCTTTAAGAAAAAGTAGGCTCTTTTCTTGAAGGTCCCTAAGAAAAATCGCTGGCCGTAGTCGCGTCGTAGTTGAATGCTGCTGGTTGTATAATATTTAATAAATACCTATGAATATAAATATTGTTAAAAGGAATATTAGTAATTTTTATAGCATTGCTAGTTTTTATAAAATAAAAACAGAATAAAAACCTCTTCTCGTCTTCATCACGTCAAACGTACAACAGTGTAAAAGACATGACACGCATGGTATTGCGATTGTTAAACCGCCTGCTAAGCGTGACGGTTAAAGCTAATTCTCCCTGCAACTGGTGAGTTGCAAACGATTAAGCCAATTCTCCCTGCAACGGGTGAGTTGCAGACAATTAAGCCAATTCTCCCTGCAACTGGTGAGTTGCAAACGATTAAGCCAACTCTCCCTGCAACGGGTGAGTTGCAGATGACTAAGCCCATTCTCCCTGCAACGGGTGAGTTGCAGACGACTAAGCCAATTCTCCCTGCAACGGGTGAGTTGCAGACGATTAAAGCTAATTCTCCCTACAACTTTTCTTACACCGCCACAACGCGGTCGTTTTGTACTATACATATATCATGTTTGTATAATATGTAAAGGGATTTTTATTTCACGTCTCCTCACTTCTCTCTGAGTTAAATTACACAAAAAAAATCATTGAGCCTATTATAAGCCAAAATTTTAGAAGACAACAAGAAATGATAAATAAATTAATAACTTATTTGTTTTGCAGGTAGTTAATGACGAGCGTTTCCAAAGCGCCATTGAAGACACGACGCGGGAGGAGCTCGAAAAAGCAAAGAGGGAAAAGAAGGATGACGACGTCCAGGATGAACGGATTTATGCGGAAACTAGGCGACGAGTGGAGGCGCGAGCCATGAAAGTCTTGATGAATATCAGCTCTGCTATGTCCAATAATGTACTCAGGTTAGTAAAAACATAACACTCACGCCCGGCACCCAGAGGGGTGAGCAGAGACTATGGACTGCTATTTGTCACGATCCTGACACTTATCTTGCCTTCTTTACATCCATGTCTGTCCACATACATGCTCGTCGGTTAAGGGTACTCTTAATTTGGCTCATCTTCAATATATCGACATTTTTAAATTAAAGATAGGTGAGAAGGTTAAATAATTTCACGCGTAGGTATGTTTATCTTTAAATGTAAGTTTTTTTTTTAAGAAAAGTTCCTAAAAACTACTCGTATCTAGACGACATTCTAGTTGTTAACTTGAACTAGTGATATTCTTTACACTATCTAAAAGGGTTTAGTAGTTATTATATAGTTAGATAGTTATAGACCGAAGTTAAATTTTTTGCATTTTTTTTTTATAGAATAGGCTGACAAACGAGCACACAGTCCACCTGATGGTAAGTGGTTGCTGCGGCCCATAGACATCTAGATGTATCTTCCATTACAAATCAAAATGCAGATGCGTTGTCACCCGTGAGGACTGAGATGGAATGCCTCATTTCCAGTAAAAAGGGTCTCCGGTTCTCTACACTCACCATACGAAATACAGCAGCATTAAGCTACTATTTCACGCTGGTATTCTGTGAGAGCGTGGTCCTTCCCCGGTCGAGCCGACCCATTCGTGCTACAACTATACTACTAATATAACTGCAGCATGGCTCTACCACGTAAACGCATTCTCGTCACCCAGAGAGTGTCCTGAAATGTGGTTAAATATAACCTGTATAAATATTTCGCTGATTGGCCGAATGAATTACATTTCACAAAAGCATAGCAACGTGAAATGATCGTATTATTCAATCCTTTACATTACTCATACATATCTTGCCGGTAAAGTGGGAATTTTTTTAGAAAACTAAACTTAAAGCAAACAAATCGATAAATGATAAAAAATGTTCATATTTCGTGGCGGATGGCGCGGAATATATTAGTGATATCGCTGCTTTTGTATGTATAAGAGTTTGATAGCAAATTCATCAGGGATCATTTCTTACCTCCACACTTTTCCTGTATCGTGTACGGATTTATTTAAAACTGGAAAAAATCGCGCTTTGAAGTTCTTGGGCGCGGGGGGTGGGGGGACGCTCACCCGGGAGTGGGAGGGTGGATAGTGGAAAAAATTTAACTTTTCTCTAGCTTCTATAACGTACATATACCGAAAATTATGTAATGTCTATATAATTTTGCAATTTTTCCATACATTAATATGAAGAATGCTCCAACTATATCACCGATTCGATAAAGCGTATCGTGACTAAAGACCCGTCTATTAAATTTTTTATGTAGAAATTATTTTAAGTATTTTTTTTATTTTTTGTACGGTAAGGCGGTTTGTTTACTTTCTTACTACGATACGTTTAATTATTATCTGAATTTTATAAAAAATATTGTACAGTTTAGCGACAATCAGTGCCGGTTTAAGCAAGCACGAGGCTCTTTTCCGCGAGCTCTTTGATCCGCCCTCGTACGTTTTAAATACTACGGTCTTTATCTTGTACTCAATAAGTTTACTATAAAATATATATGTAATAAAACCCTTTAAATAATAATAATAATTATATACTACTTCCATGTACGGAATCAAAATTAAGGCGTACAAATATACAATTCGTAAGTAAAAGCGTAATTAATAGAATTAGTCGTTACTTTGCAGAAATTCATAATACCAAAGATGTTAAAATGAGTAAGCTATGATGATCCGCGTAAAAAATAAAAATGATGTGTCTTACCTAATCAAAAGAGCACCTACAGCCCTCCCTTCCGCGGATTTTAACTAATTTCAACATCTTTTCGAGTAGTTTTTATATTTCTTTTTTTAATATTAGGGGTGATATGCGAGCACCTGATCTCCACCTGGTGGTAAGTGGTTGCTGTGGCCCATAGACATCTACATGTATCCTCTATTAAGAATCTAAATGCAGATGCGTTGTCACCTCTGAGGGCTAAGATGGAATGCGTCATATCTTAATATGGTTCTCTCTGCTTTTTTATCGTACACTAGTTGGTACCCGGCACGTTGCAGCTATAGTAGAAATAATTGCGGAAATATCGTTTTGAATGTGAAATAGTACACAATATATTGTTAAATTGGAATTTCAAATAAATTTGAGCGCGCCACCTAAGTTAATTGTACTATGCTTATAAATTTCGCTGTAGTGTAAGCAATATGTTGACGAAGTTTTACTGCTATCTAAAGAAAGGTATGGTAGGCGCATAAAATACGAACAAACAAACGTTATATTATTAAATAACTATTTCGGATATAGATTCATCAAATATAAATAAATTAGACTAAAATAACACATAATCCGGAAGAACTGCCATTAAAAACGAAAGACCCCAATGTCACCCGTGAAGGCGCACATTAAACATAGTATTGATATTCTTTTTGGATTGTTTCCTTATTTTTTCTTGTTACATCGTTGACCTTTTATTGTATAGTAGTATTCAGGGTCAACTTACTAAAAAAGATATGTCATCATGACCTCTAAATTATTCAAGTATATTTGTCTCTTCTTGACCAGTAGGTGCACTCATAAAGTCACAACAGATTGTAATCATATCAGCCATTTACAAGTTCACGGCTGAACATAGGCCGCTCCCAAACAATGATGCGAACACGGTCCTGAGCCACCTTTAGCCCTCGACTCCTGTGTGTCTACTGTCTAACCAAGTCGTTTCTGCATCTAGAGGGGAGCTGGCCTACACTTCGCTTAACGGTATGACGCTGCCACTCGGAATGAAAGGCATTCCCGCCGGTTATCAAAGTATATGGTACGCCAATGTACTGATTGATCGGGCTATGTTGGTAATGCACCGAAAACCCCAACACTAACAAGTGCACTAAACGGTCTGCTTGGTGGATAAACGCGGGAGTCGCGACTCTTATCCCACTCCCTGATTGGCTCTTTATATGTGCAGTAATTAGTGATCCCACTCTCCGATTGATTTTTTATAGGTGCAGTAATTAGTGATCCCACTTTCCGATTGGTTCTTTATAGGTGCAGTAATTAGTGATCCCACTGTCCGCTTGGCTCTTTATATGTGCAGTAATTACTGATCCCACTCTCCGATTGGTTCTTTATATGTGCAGTAATTAGTAATCCCACTCTCCGATTGGTTATTTATATGTGCAGTAATTAGCCCACCCCGATTGTTCTATATATTGATCCCACTCTCCGATTGGTTCTTTATATGTGCAGTAAACTCTGCAAATAGTGATCCCACTCTTCGATTGGTTCTTTATATGTGCAGTAATTAGTGATCCCACTCTTCCATTGGTTCTTTATATGTGCAGTAATTAGTGATCCCTCTCTCCGATTGGTTCTTTATTGCAGTAATTAGTGATCCAACTCTCCGATTGGTTCTTTATATGTGCAGTAATTAGTGATCCCACTCTCCGCTTGGCTCTTTATATGTGCAGTAATTAGTGATTGGTGCAAGAAACCTACATGTAAATATTAGTTAAAAATAAATCTACACAAATTAGTTCGATCGAAAGTGCACAGGACTTCTATTTGAGTTGTATTGTACGAATTAATGTCCTTTCCAGACTAGTGGCATGGCTCTGTCATAAGGCGATCCGCCGTATCGCCGGTGGTGGCTGCAGTACACGATCTGAGTGTGTGGAGAGACTCCGTAGGGCCAAGGCGGCCGGTCTGCCGCTGGTCTTCGTACCCTTGCATCGTTCCCACTTCGATTACATCCTGGTCACGTTCACGCTGTATTTGACAGGCCTGAGGCCGCCCTTGGTCGCGGCCGGGGATAATATGAAGATACCATTTTTTGGGTGAGTGTTTAGTATGTGTTACTCATGTTGATTTAAACTTTACTTGAAGTAAAATGTTGTTTGTTTTTAGAATATCTAAGGGTGACATATGAGCATACAGTCCTCCTGATGTTAAGAGGATGCTGGAACCCACAGATACCTATCTATCTACATTTATCCTCAATTAAAAATGAAAATTTAGATGCGTTGTCACCCTTGAAGACTAGAATGCCTCGTTTCCAGTAAAAAGGGTCTCCGGTTCTCTACATTAACCATAGAAAACATAGCAGCATTGAGATGCTATTACGCTTGTATTCTGTGAGAACGTGGTCCTTCCTCGGTCGAGCCGACCCATTCGTACTACCAGCACAATAAACCTGCAGCGTAGTTATACCACGGATGACACATATTTTGACAATTTTGTAATAATATCCGGGTATATTTCAGATGGATCCTGCGCGGCTGCGGTGCCTTCTACATCAGGCGACGTATCGACGGCTCTGAGTACCACGGGGATCCCATATACAAATCTGCTCTGAGGTAACTTGTCATTCAATTATTAATGTCCTTCAGACCGAATTATGTCCGCTGAATTTTGGATAGGACGGTTATCCGACATAACCGGAGAAAGATCAGGCAACTTTCATCAGATTCATTTATTACCGTTATATTATTTACCTTTGCTTCATAGGGGGGGATATTTGTTAGTTACCATGCTTGGCAAGTGGGTCGCCATCCGCAGTTTGTTTCATTTTCAGTCGTTATTAGAAATACTTTGCCGCCCATATCCTGATTTGTTACCCACTCTCGCCTCTATGGTTGTCGTAACTATGAATGCCTCGATACGCCTTTTTGCCGATACGATACCGATGCTCTTATAAAAATATCGGCGATACCGATACGCTTATTGAATTCAAAAATTAAGGTAAAATAAATAAAACACAATTCAGGTTATTTTTTAATTAATATAAAATAACAAATAACAGGACAAACTAAATAAAACCGTTTAAAACTATAGACAGTTTCTAATGCAACGAAATAGACGAGACAAAACGCGCGTTTACATTACATTTTTAAAGTGTGAAATTTGAAATGTATCGTTGATTCGGCCATAAAAATGCCTATATATCGGCAAACTTCGAGTATCGCCGATATATCGGCAAACTTCGAGTATCGCCGATATATCGGCATCGGTATCGGATAGGGGATATTCTTACACCTCCACTGCAAGATACATGTAGATGAAAATTAGTTAAAGATTCATTAAACCAAAAATTACCATCCTGAATAACAAAAAGACTAGCCATTTGCGCTGAACGGTACTACTACTATTCCTTCACTCTCACAGTCCAGTGGGAGGGTTATACGGCACGACGTTACCATATTTAAAAGGCATAGTGGTTAATTAGAGCCATTGTTTTAGAGGACATTTGAACCATCGGTCTAGAGGACATTGTTATTATTATATAAAAGCTTAAATAAAACTTACTAATAAAAAAAACAATTTCAGAGCATACATCCTCAACAGTCTGGGCGTGAACAACAATTTGGAGTTTTTCATAGAAGGTGGACGCACAAGAACAGGAAAGCCACAGCCGCCGAAAGGTACTTTTGGTTTTTGTAATACTATCATTCATCATCATCATCATCGTAATGTCTACTGCTGGACACAAGACTCTTCCGTTGCAGACAGGAAGTCATAATCTTCACAAAATGGAATGGTCACACCAAATCTATCGGAAGCCATGAGGTGTTGTTCTGGTAGTCGGTATTTCCCGTAATCGTCTCTTACGAACTTCCGACACCCAAAAGACGACATAGCATTCTGGTTTCTCCTCAAAAATCATTAAATCTTTAATAATATAAATAACTTTATCATATAGCATAAATTCAGTTAATGAGAAAATTACACCTATGTAATTTAGTATTTAACCATAATTGTTTTTATTGTAACTACACCAACTTATGTACGTATTATTCAATAATTCATTATAAATATTTGTAAACAAAATATTAAAGTGATATTGCTTCATGACATGGAATCAAACATTAGTTTATTGCCGGAGTAGGAATTATGTTGCTGTAGTAAAATTAAAAGAATAAATGAAAGAAAGATTTAGAATAAACTTATATTGTTTAAATGTTTTTTGTCACTGCTGGGCACAGGCCAAAATAAACTCGGAGTGTTCTAGTAAGCAGCAGATGTCCTTGATATTATATTCTTAGGCGTGTCGGTTTCCTCACGATGTTTATCGTCACCTTTACGGTCAAGCCCTCTAAATGCCAATTAACATAGAAATCAGTTGTATAGTATTACAAGTTGTAACATACTCTTTTCGAACACATATATATATATATATATATATATATATATATATATATATATATATATATATATATATATATATATGTATACAACATGTAACAAAAACCCTGTGGTTCCCTTTAAGTGTGTTATCAGAATCAGTATCCAAGCGTAAAGAAATTTTTTTTCCATAAAAACACATTTAAAAAAATTAATTTTAATGAAAAAAAATTAAATTTGGAAATTGTATGTGGTTTTATTTCATCTAACTCACACGAATATCGGTAATGCGGGGTCTTTGACAATCCTCTTAATCCTCGGCCAATGCAGAGATAATAAAATCACATACAATTTGCAAATTATTTTTTTTTCCATAAAATTAATTTTTGTAAATGTGTTTTTTTTTTTCAAAAAAAATTATTTCTATATGCTTGGATACTGATTCTGATAACGCAGTTAACGGGAACCACAGGGTTTTCTTTACACGTTGTATATATAGCAATGAAATATTTGTATCACAATGTTAACATAATATAAAAATAAATAATGAAGTGAAATTATCGATAATTTTGTAATAAAAAACGTAAAGGATATCAGTTTTTGCTTTATATTTTTTGTAAATATTATCAATCAATACTCAATTTTTTATTTAAAGTAATAATTATTTAGCTTTTTTATATAACAGTGCGTGTTTCCTTATTTAAATGTTAACACGAAAAGATTTGTTACAAGTCTCAGTATTTTTTTAAAAACTTTATATCACCATTAAATTAATGCTCAATTCGACCTTTGACTTGGCTTTGACACTTATTATACTATGTCTCATTATTTCGCGATTGTATTTGCCTTAATATTGTTATTTTCTTTCCTGCCCGCTCGGATGAAGCTGTATTGTGTGGTAGGTGAGCTGCTATCTATATGATTAACGTACCACGATTACTCCTGAATGCTCTGTGTGTTCATTATCTTTCAAGTTATGATGCGATACGTGGTAGGGTCTTGCTACAGCTGACCGTTTATATATTTATATATATATATATATATATATATATATATATATATATATATATATATATATATTTGCTATACAATTGGAGAAGAACTACCTTCGCACAGACTACCAGCGTGAAATAGCAGCATAGTGTTGCTGAGTTTCATATAGTAATAATGTTCTCCAGACCAAATTTCAGTCAAAGTAGTAGTAGTGAACAAGCGTATGCGTAAGCACAGGTGCACTCTATAATTTCCTCATTCTCAAATAAATAATTAATAAATAAATATTTTAAGAGAAGGAGATGTTAAATAAGTACAATGTAGCCGAACACATTTCATCGTTTGTGGTATGCTAATTAATACATACTACTCACTGTCATAATATACATAGTCCGATGGCACGATAATTCGACACGACCGGAGAGAGATCAGGCGCAGAATTAAGGGCATTACTTGCTGAAAAATCCGATAATTTATTTCGACCTGATTCGAACCCCGGACTATACATTATCAGTCGCATTTACGACCACTGCAACAGCAGGGCAGTAAAAAGATTTTCCTGTTGAGAGTTACGAGAATCGAAAACCGTTTTTTTTAATAGATATGGGTGACAAATGAGCACACGGTCCACCTGATGGTAAGTGGACGCTGTGGCTAATAGACATCTACATTTATCCTCGATTAAAAATCTAAACGCAGATGCGTTGTCACCCCTGAGGACTAAGATGGAATGCCTCGTTTCCTGTAAAAAGGGTCTCCGGTTCTCTACACTCACCATACGAAACACAGCAGTACTAACCTGCTATTTTACGCTGGTATTCTGTGAGAGCGTGGTCCCTTCCCGGCCGAGTCGACCCATTCGTGCTACAACGAAAATATTGCTGCAACGTGGGTCTACCACGTATATAAATTTTACTGCTAATGAGGCATTCTATCTTAGTCAGTATTCCAACGGTAGTGCCGTTACTACTTACTAAAGAACTGCTGAACATAAGCAGCTATAAAATACGGTCCCGAACCTCCATCCATCGACTGCCTGCATGTTTTCCAGAGTAGGAATTCGCCCAAAACTGCGCTTGTCAATACGGGGTTGCCACTTGAGAACCTTTCTTCCCCATCGGTTGTCGGTTCTTTGAGCTAAATAACCATCCCATAGGGTTGGTTAACCACAGGACTCTCCCATAGATCCTCCCCCGCCTCATATGAAGGATTTGCCATAGTTGCCGTGGTTGGCAGGTCGATTGGCAACCGCAGTTTTTTATTATTCCGAGTTATCAGAAGATTTGTCATGTAGAAAGAGTTTGGTCATGTAGAAAGAAAGAATGAATGAGCAAAGAATGACAAAGCAAATTACTCGTATATGTTGCAGAAATGAATGGAAGAGTCGGAAAGGGACGTCCTAGGCGAAAGTTTGTCGACCAAATATGCGATATATTAAAAATGGGGCAAATTAAGAGTACCCTTAACCGACGAGCATGTATGCGTAGGTATATAGATGTGGAAGAGGCAAGAGAGGTGTGTCAGGATCGTGCTAAATGGAAGTCTGTAGTCTCTGCCTACCCCTCTGGGTGACAGGCGCGAGTGTTTATGTTTATGTTTATCAGAAGATGCTTCTACCGATCTTCTGTTTCAGTTTACCTCTGTCGCTTCTTACGACACTCACGGGACGATATAGGATAGTGAATATTCTAATACCGCCACTTCAGCTTACTAAACCTCTAATTCCAACGGCAACACTAATGTAATTGTTTTTGCTCTGCAGCCGGCATCCTGTCGGTGATAATGGACGCTTACCTCGAGGGTACGATCGACGACGCGTTACTAGTGCCGGTGACTCTCAACTACGAACGGCTGGTGGACGGCAGCTTCGTGCGGGAACAGTTGGGGGTGCCCAAGCAGATGGAGACCTTCTGGTCCGCACTACGCGGCATCTGGCGTACACTTAACACCGATCACGGTGGAATACGCGTCGACTTCAACCAGCCTATCTCGCTCAAAGTACGTAATCATTCAATTCCATTCCATTCAGTAACAAACTAGCTCACAGTCCACCTGATGGTAAGTGGATCCTAAAGCCTAAAGTCATCTATTAAATGTTAAGCAAATATCCTGTTGTACAACCTTTTGGAAATAAAGAACTTATTATTATTATTATTATTATTATCTACATCTATCCTCGATTAAGAATCTAGATACAGATGCTTTTCACCCCTGAGGACTAAGGTGGAGTGCCTCGTTTACATTAATAAGGTTATCCGGGTCTCTACGCTCACCATTCGAAACATAGAGACATTAAACTGCTAATTTACGCTAATATTCTGTTAGAGCGTCGTCCTTCCCGATCGAACCAACGCTTTCATGCTAAACTATATAGCTACATCACATCTCTACCACTACAACCTGTACATTTCGCTCAGAGTACGTGCTTGTCTAAGTGAATTTCTATATTAGATGGGAGGGCCAAACTGCAGCAGTATTACTGCTGCACAAATACGTCGGCTCGACTTGCTTTTACAAAATATCACCGTTAAATAGCAGCACGATACTAATGTGTTTCGTATGGTGAGTCATTCCATTTTAGTCCTCTCGAGTACTTAGAGTATTCTGTGTCGAGGTTATTAAGAACGGCGACGAGGTTCGCCGCCCGTCACGTTCTGTCTCCCGGAGGGGCGAAAAGTGGATTGCGGAAGCCCGTCTGGCTACGCTGAATATATGTGGAGCAATGAACGATGCGCCGTGGTAGCTCAGTGGTTAACGCTCGCTGTAAATATAACAGAACGCGAGTAACCCGGGTTCGACCCCCGCCGGCGCCAATGAAATTGTTAATTGCAATTTTAAGTACTGATTTACCATGTGCTCGGCGGTGAAAGAAAACATCGTGAGGAAACCTGCATGTCTGAGGAATAAGAAAAAAATATTTCGAAGACATGTGAAATTCGTCAACACGCATTTGGGCAGCGCGGCGGACACTTCCATGCCCTAAACCCTCTCAGAAATGAGGGGAGGCCTGAGCCCAGCAGTGGGACGTATATAGGCTGTAACTTTACTTTTACTTTACTTTTAATGAACGATAAGGTGGATGAATTATGCGAAATGATGAATGACAGAGGAATAGATGTGTTATTTGTAAATGAGACAAAACGAAAGGGAAAGATGCTACTGCACATGGCATGTATACCGCGTATTGGTCTGGTGTAGCCGAGATCGAACGGGCATACCAGGGAGTCGCTTTCATCCTTTCAGAAAGAATGGCTCAATGTGTGAAAGAGTATGAATGTGTAAGTGAAAGTGGGCTTAAAGAAGCTGTTTGTGCTAGGGGTGTACACCCCAGACATTTCTAAGCCCACTTACATCCGAGAGCAGTTTTGGGACATGGTAAGGATGGTGTTGACGAAATGTAACGAAAATGAAAACGCAGGTTTACCGGGGGGTCCGACGTAGGGACGGATCATTAATTGGTCTTTGGTCTTCGTCTACCCCCCCCCCCCCCCCACTCTATCCTGTTTCCTCCGCTAAACAGACAGCCAGTAAAATAACGGGCGCTCTATCTGAGTCCTCAGATGAGACAATGCATCTGTAGCCTTTATCGATTAAAGTTGGCGCAAGTGCCCATGGATTGAGGTAGCTTCTTCATTTTTATTTAAAAAAAAACCTATTCGTTATATTATTGTTTTCTATAATATTTGGTTCCTTTGTCCACAGGAGTTGGTGACATCGTTCCAGAAATACAACTATCTGAAGGCGCCTATAGAACGGTGCCTCAGTCCACCTAACAACAACCTGGCTGTTAATCTAGATCGTCAGATTCTCTACAACCATAGCCACTCCAGTTTGTATGGATCGGACGTGAGCACAGACCATAAGATGATGGTGGAGGCCATCGGAAGACATCTTGTCTATGGTAAGCTTTTCTTAAAACAAGTCTTAATAGGTTTTGGCAGAGAAAAGTATAATAGATATCCTTTTAATCTCATTTACCATTCTTGTGCTAGTATTCCTCCTCAATCAAGTCGATTCACTCATACTGCAACTTTGCTCCATCACTTTAAGTGCTGCAAAAATATTATTTTGCAGCGTGAATTTATTATTTTAAGTGCTACAACAATAACCAATATGTTGTAGCGTGATACTTGAAATGCTACATGGATATTATACTGCAGCGTGATTCGAGCTAACACTTTAAGTATTGCAGTAATAATGTGTTGCAGCGTGGCTCTACCACCTTACGTGCTAATTATTTTTCACATCTAAAATTAAACAAATAAGAATTAAAGCAAATAGCAATATGTAATGAATGTTTTACGTACAAAAAAATATGCTTAAAATGTGTAGAATTAAAAAGCTAAGCTAGAAGTATTTTGTGTTGCAGACGCGGCGCAGTCGACCGCGCTGATGAGCACGAACGTGGTGTCGTACGTGCTGCTGGCCGAGCAGCGCGCCGGCTGCTCCCTGCAGCGGCTGCAGCGCTGCGTGGCCGCGCGAGCTGCGGCGCTCAGTGCGGCCGGACGCGACCTCGGCTACAGCGCTGACACCGCTGCACTGCTCGCACACGCTGTTAGTCATCATTCCATCTTAGTCCTCAGGCGTGGCTACGCATTTGCATTTAATTCTTCATCGAGGATAGACATTGATGTATATATAGATGTGCTGAATGGTATTCTCGTTAGCATATTATAATACATACAGTAGCGGCGCAAGACCTAAATTTTATGTGGGCAAGATACATTTTGCAAGGCCCTCCGCCCACGCAAGAAGACGAATTATATAAAATGAAAAACAAAACACTTGACATTATTTACTAATTTCAAATAAAAATGAAGAAATAGATATTCTGCTTTTTATCCTGCTCAATTGTTTAATTATAGCCTCAATATAGCTTGATGCTATATCTGCCTAGATAGATGAAACTTTCAACGCTGAAAGTCTTTTCTGTGACATTCCTGGGATAATTTTAATGAGTTTTAATTTTAAGAAGCTTCCTTCAGCGGAGGCTGTACTTATCAGTATTGTTAAATGACGATGTACATGTTTGGGTATATTTTTTTTAATTATTTTCTGTAACTTAGTGGAGAAGCTGTTTCGCATCTGTTACGAAGTTAGGTAAATTAGGGATTATTAATTGTAATTCTTCATATAATTCGTAAGGTTGAAAGTCACTGCTTTCACGAAACAACGAAAACGTACGTAACCGTAACCGTTCCGTAAACGTAAACGTTCTAGAGCTTTAATTTGTCTTCACCTATAGTGACAACCCTACCAAAAAAGGTAACAATTTTGCAAGTTATTAAGAAGCTTTGTGTCTGTTCCGTTTGTTATGCGTAAAGCGTGAAAATATACCTACAGCAGCCACTTGGGCCGCTGTACTACACTCTTTATTCGATTGCCACGCGCCCATGATTAAATAAAGTCAGTATTCTATATTGATAGAATCAGGCGTTACTTTGCGGAAATCCATTATAATAAAAAATAAAAATATAAATTTCTTTGCAACTTTCCGCTAAAGATATAAAATGATGTGTCTTACCTGGATTGAAGCGCACCTCCCGCCCTCCCTCAATTGCATACACTAACTCCGTCACCACTAGACCAAGCACCACTACTCTCAACACCACTATTCCAGGCAAGACACACCATCGACGATAATACGACACGTGTTTCGCCTCTACACGAGGCATCCTCAGGTAATATAGACTATACGGCGGCTGACCGCTAAGCTTAGCGGTCAGCCGCCGTAGAGTAGGAGAGTTTTATCAGTATTCTATGTCTAACAAACAGAACGGGTAATCCTCAGTCTTTGTCGCCTCCATAGATTACTGTATATATACTGGTCACCCCGCAGCGGGGATTCCCCGTAATAGCAACGTAAACGAATGTTGCTAGACTCAATAAAAACATATTTAGTTATGTCAATAATATCGATTCACGACAATGAAATTTTTTCGGCGCGGTAACCGTTTTAAGTAATGCATAAATCTCCAGGGCGCGAGGCCGTAGGTAGAGCCGTAGGCGGTGACCCACGTCGCCCACGCCTTACGCCGCCTCTGAATACAATTATATAATAGAACGGGGGAGTGGGCGGAACCCGCGAAGCCACTAAAATGTCACTAACACATCAATTCACACATATAAATGTCAACACGAGATGTGTTTTGACGTTACAATCGTTTCCAAGTTTCGCATACAAATTATTTAGAAAATACCAAATTGAACCCTATTACAAATAAATATGTATTTAAATTTAAACGATTTTTTTATTTAAAGTCTAAAATGTGTAAATTTATTCAGTCTGTCAACACAGCGAATTAGGTTTGTAGTAGTGATAATAGGACCTAATTGCTTGTATGTGTGCCCCCGGCGACGCCAATCCTCGTACAAAATAAGGTTGACAGCCATTCTGTTGTGTATTATAGTCTTCTATACTCGTTTGCGCCGCTATTACTTCTATAAGAAACGTTTTGGTTACAGCTGGACATGCTAGGCAGCGCACTCGTACGTCGGGAAGGTCGACAACGAGATCAAATTCGCGCGCAGCCATCTTTAGCCGCGGCATTAGAACTTTCCTACTACGCCAACGCACTCGTCGCTCACTATGCCGCTAACGCCATTCTAGGTATATTGCCGTTTTAACTTTATTGACTTTCCATTTAGAATTGTTATTTGAAAATACTTTGTTCTTACGTGCGTACATGCGTGCACGTGAATTGTGTGTGTATGTGAGGCGGAATGTGCGTGTGTGTAATGTGTAATACAATCACGTTTACTGTAATTTAATATTTACCCATATGAAATTCGTACTCACATCTGGCCATTTGAAATGAAAATAATATATATATATATATATATAAATATATATATATATATATATGTATATATAAATATATATATATATATATATATATATATATATATATATATATATATATATATAATTTTCGTTTCGAGAAGAACACTAATTTCAAATTAATTTTATTTTAAAAACATTGATAAAAATAGCGTTATGTTTTCATCGATTTGAATCTTTTTCGTCATAATCGCTCATTTGGAGCGACAGTGACATAACTGCAAATTTGTAAAATTTACACTACGCCAGTTTTAAGATATTTTCGTAACACCATTGAAGATTCCTCACTTTTCTTACAGTTACTGACTCTTTATCTATTTTATTATTGTAGTTTGAACTCTGGGCTTGAAAATAGACACATTTATTTTTTATATTCTTATCCAAAATAATGAAAAATAAATAAAAAAACATTTTAACACCTACAGTTGCGTCGCTGTTACCCTAGGCAAAGAAAGCTCGGGTAGTTATGACCTTTGTTGTCTCTTATAAAATAAAACCAATATCGTTCCAATCAACACATTTTGTTTTATTTATATAAAAATTAACAACGGCAGTCAGTGGTGACATAGTTATGCGTCATAGTATGAATCATTTGTAGATGACCTTCATCTTAATTACACTTTAATAGGAACTATTCAATACGAAATTAAACAATATAGTAGGTATATATAAGATTAGTTTTTTAACCCTCTTAATAACTGCTATCTAATATGGCACAGAAAAATCAGCTGCTTATAACAATATTCGTAAAATCTAAAACCCTGCACATTTAAAAAGTTATTCTTAAAAGTCAGTTTTAAAAGATCAGTAGAATGTAAGAACAATTTTTAAACATTTCAGTCTTACGTTCGTTTCATTAGTCATACTACTTACATAAAAAATTAAAACTTAATAAAAACAATAAAAAAATTGTACCTACTCAGGTGACTCAAAATAAACTCTCGTAAAATCCAGAATAGCACCTGGGAACAATGTTTTTTTCTAACAAAGTACGCAAATCCTGTAAGTTAGTTTTGAATTGTAAGCTGCTCTCAAACGTATTTCAGTAATATTTAAATTATTATCGGACCGATTTTTTCGAGTATTCGTAGATGTTTTTGATTTGACAGTTATCCATTCACCCTCGTAAGAATATTTTAAATCGTAAGTCTCACTATTTTTAACAAATCGTATAGATTTTATTTCAGATAGTTTTATCTGGTTACCTTGCAGATCTTTGTTAACATTTAGTGTATTATATTCAAATAGCTTTTTTAAATCATAAAAATCGTCATAGTTAAGCTCGTTTACTACAAAAGCATTTCCAGTTTTCTTGGTGTTGCGTATAAGTTGCACGTACTGGTATGGAATATAGATAGGACCTGACTTTTTTGCTCTTTTAATTGACTTTTCGATTAGCGAATGAGCATTGTCGCCCTCATTTTGAGTGTGCCCACGTATCAAAAATTTATGTGTGATTGAATTTATTGGAAGAGTTCCAACCGAGGAATCTGAAAAATTAAAATATAACTTAAACACAGAAAAAATGGTTAATTTTAATTCTGTTTTTGTGCGATAATAATGACCATAAATGTACCTATTTTTTGCTGACCACAGCAGTTGTCAGAATAAAATATTATATTGCTATTGGCATGACACTCTGCAGTCTCATTCAGAAATTTGAACACACAAGAACCAATTTCTATAGCTCCTCTATTGCCAAGACCCTCGTGCCAGAAATAGCAATTTGTTACGCTATCTTTTAAGTTTGTAACCTGTCAAAAAAATTTAATATTAGTTTTTTAAGCTACATACTCGTGAATTCCAAAGGAAGTAAATTATTTACCGTAAAGTTAAGGCAGTTCAACTTTGTTTTGTAAAAAAAAGCTGAACTATTACCGATAGGTACAGGCATAACTGCCTGTAAATCGTATATTGCAACGATATTGTTATCTTCTTTTACTAACTCAATATCCCTTGTTTTCTCTTTCCTACTTAAATCTTTTTGTTTTAAATGCTCTTCATATGCTTCTTTTAATTTGAGTTGGTCTTCCCCGACAGCATTTTTATAAGACTCGCAGAGATCACACTGATCTTTTTTGGGTACAAAAAATGATTTCAGTGTTGAAAATTCGGTAATACGTGTCAAAAGTTGCCGATGGCATCGCTCCTCTACAAGATACGTAATTTCGATGCAGCTCCTTAACGGTAAGACCGCCATCAATAAATTCACGAGTTGTGTTAGCCCGAGTATAGTGGCTCTCAATTCTAGGGACGGAATTAATGTGATCGCGAACGGATTGCATGATTTCTGGGTTTACTTGATTATGATGAGCATGCTTGCCACGCTTGTCCTCAGGGATCACACCCGTACCAGAACTGTTTTTACCTTCAATAACCAAGTATTTAAAAAAAAAAGTTTTGCACGTCCGCTTAGTTTCACCATTCACCGTGAAATTAAAAACACAATTTTGGTTCCTAGTTTTGGCACTTCTTCTTTTACTCGACGGTAGGGAACTTTCAAAGTTGTTAAACAGGAGTTCAAAAAATCACGCTGTCTTTGTAGTGATCCCAAGCCCCAATAACATTCAAATATCTCCTGTCTTTGTTCCTCCGTTATTTTATTACGACATTTGAGCCTACATTTTTCTGTGCAAGGTGGTTTAATAGATTTTGCTGCAACAGTTTTGCCAGTTCTAGATACGTATTGTTTTCCAGAATTTCGCTGACGTTTTCGTACATTTTTTATCCATGCAGATTCATTACGAACTCTCTTCTTGCCTCTCTTGGCAACTGCAGTCTCGGAAGGTAGCGCTAAATCTTGGCTGGTATCTATAAAATTGGAATTTCTGACAGAATCATGAGTAATCGATGTTGATGGTGAGCTAGAAGTAGTACCAGATGAACTAGACGATGAAGTTGAGCATGAAGAGCTCGAAGATGAGCTAGATGACGTTGAATTAATACGGTTGCGTTGTACAGATTTCTCTGGCTTATATTCATCACCACTATCGTCTCGAGAAAAGTCGTTAGTTTCGTCTTCACTGTCGTTTTCGTTGTTTTCTAGGAGGATTGGTGACGGATCCACCTTATTTAGAGAAGAAATAACATTTTCTGTCACAATCGATGCTAAAATAAACAAACAATAATTTAAATAAAATAGTTAATCCGAATACAACTACAACAATGTACAATCACAAGAGTATACCTTTGCAAATAAATGTAAGTAATGTAGAAAAAACCGACTTACGTTGACTAGAGCAAGCAGTATCAATGTTTGAAATAATGTTGGTGACGTCTTGGGTGTGTTCTGCAGAAAATATCTCTGTAATTTAGCAAAGAAATATTAAAACTCGATTATTATTAAAACCAACAAAAATTTTAACGTACTGAGTATTTATTTACCATTTGCACTAGTAGGAATAACAGTTTTTGAAGAAAGAGATTGGTCCCCAATACTATCAAACTTTGAACATTCTTGCTCACAAAGTTTGACTAACATTCATGCTCGACTTCCCATTTTGATAGCTTAAAATGTGTAACAAATTAACATAATAAAAAAATTTTGGTCTAAAATTATTACAATTAGTCATAACTGTTATTGGTACAGAGGCATTACAGTACAATAATGGCGTATTTATATTTACGTCTAAACAAATACCAAATGTTTGGTGATACAACGGCGCAATTGTATAATACGACATTGTATCCACAAAACTGTTTTAATTTCTAGTTGATATTGTCAGAAAATACAATTGCGTCGTTGTAACACCGATGTTTAATAGCAAAATTTGTCATATTTACCTTAGCGCCGATGTAATTCCCTGACACATGCACACTTAGCGGAGCACCCCGCACAACTGACTGTTCGGTCGTTATCGCCCGGTATTCGCGCGCCAAAATGTAATATTTCAACAACGTCTTTTGCCTTCTAGCGGGCGTTTTTTTTTTTTAAATAACAAATGCGGTGTTTTAACTCCATAACGTAGATAGGTATGGAGATAGTTTTGGTGTAATTAGGTCAGATTCGCCTTTTTTTGCAGTTATGTCACTGTCGCTCCAAATGAGCGATTATATGAAACAAGAGTACTGTCGTGGCAGCAACGTACCACAAGCGACACGCAATATCAACGACGTTTACGGAGCGAATACTACAAACGAACGCACCACCTATTATTGGTTTGCCCGCTTCCGTTCTGGAAATTTCTACCTAAAAATGAACCCCGTCGTTGTCCGAAAACCTTGGTTGACAATGACAAATTAAAGGCGATTGTGGAAGCTTATGATACTCAATCTACGGCCGAATTAGCAGCAGCTTTCGACGTTCGCATCAAACAATATTGGTCCGTTTGCGTCAATTTGGCAAGGTGAAGAAGCTTGACAAATGGGTGCCGCGCGAACACAATAATCGCCAGCATGAAGTACGCGTTGAAATGTGCCTTGTATTGAACAAGCGCACAAGCCAAAGAATTTTGAACCGCATTGATGCGACAAAAAAATGACGGCAAGTTGGTTGGATCCTGTTTCAGCACCTAAACAATGTCCTAAACGAAAACTTACCCCTAGAAAAGTGATGGTCACTGTTTGGTGGTCTAGCGCATGTGTGATTTATCACTGTTTACTAAACGGTATGAGCATTATTACAGATGTGTACAGAATTGAACACAATGATGGAGAAGTTCGCACGTCTCCAACAGCTTTGTAGCAACGTTTAGCGCAGGGAAGTGTCCGCCGCCCTCTCGAATGGTTATACGTGGTAGAGGCATGCTGCAGTTATATTTGTAGTATAGTTGTAGCACGAAGAGTCGGCTCGACCGGGGAAGGACCACGCTCTCACAGAATACCAGCGTAAAATAGTAGCTTAATGCTGCTGTGTTTCGTATGGTGAGTGTAGAGAACCGGAGACCCATTTCATTGGTGACAGCGTTTAGCTGCCACCAATTGCTTGTGTGCTGAGAAATTTTACTACAAAGCATGGCCGATAACCACTTTCTTCTTACTACACTACTCTTCACTTTCACTAAAGTTCGATGTTTATTTACTTGTTTGTTATGTATATTATATGCGGTGCGTACTGTTCACCATTCAACGTAATATATTTTGTACTGTTTTCAGCAACCGCTTTAGAGAGCATAATTTGCCAGCAGAGCCGCGACGAAGATACAATCCGTCACACTGATCTCATAGAAGCATCCCTCCAGTTGTGCGAAATATTGAGTCAAGAATTCATTCTGTGCCCACCGTGCCACCGTATTGAAGAGAGGATGTTGGAAGCTATCAACTCATTGGTAGCCGATGACGTAATTAGTCAAGTACAAGTGAGTTTTAAATTATTTCTTTTATATATATATATATATATATATATATATATATATATATATATATATATATATATATATATAAAGTTCAGGTAAGTTAGTTCCGCAAGCAAAGTATTAATCTACCCTCAACATGACAAAATGTGATAAATGTGGAAAAAATATAACCAAAAGTAATCCTGGAATAGAATGTAGCCAGTGCGAGAAAATAGTTCACTTAAATGGGAACTGCTCTGGTCTTACTAACAAGCAAAAGAGTGCACTAAAGGCCGCTGAGGATCTAGGATGGACATGCCAAGATTGTCTTGAACATTCCCCGAGACGTAGCTCTATATACGTTCCCGGTGATGAAGACGAAGAGGAAGAGGAAGATAATGCTCAAGATACAGGAAACTATTCCAAAAACGTACAAATTGATATCAAGCGGTTATTGAAAGATATATCAAAAGAGATGGAAAAAGCTCTTCAAAGAGAACTGCGAGACATAGTCAAATCTCTACAACATCAAAGCGATAAAATGGACGAGATGAATATATACATATATATATATATATATATATATATATATATATATATATATATATGTATGTATATATATATATATATTCTGTTTATTCGATTTACATATAATTAGGGACCTTCAAGAAAAGAGGCTACTCTTTTTGAAAAGGCTTGCAACGCACCTGCATTTTTTTTTGTTTGTACCTTCTCATATAAAAAAATTGGTCTGGATGTTACTCTTTGTGAAATTTATTCGTATAAAACGCTTTCACAATAAAGAAGTTCTAGTGTGAAAAATTAAGAAAAAAATAGTAATCGTTGATAACGTTATTATTCCCCAGACAAATGAAGCATTAGAAGAGCAGAAGTGGTCGCGTCGGTTTGCCAAATCCTTGGAGGATGATGACGAGGAGGCGGATAGGCCAGATCCGATGCGACATATCAAGTATAGGGTTACGAAGAGCCCAGAAGCAGACGCTGAAAGGTACTATATTTATTTTGTTTACTTATTATAAGGCAGTGTTTGGGTACAATTCGACATAGCGATAAAGTGGTGTTAAAATCCAAGATGGAAAAACGCATTGTTTAACGTAACAAAAACCTATTTATTTTATTATTTTCACTTCCATTCTTTCACTACTTTACTAGGTAGTAAGTTTTGGTAGACTTCTTTTTATGTTTTTAATATTCTTATTTAAGGCGATACCCCGACCAAAACCTTGCGATAGTGTGTTTTTCAGAGATTATTATCTCATTAGTTATGACAAATAAACTCTATCTAAACGCACATTATTAATGTTCGATATCCTATCATCACATTCCACGTTCCAATTTGTTTTGTGTTATAAATACATTTAAAATCAACTTTTAAAAAATGACTAAAATTATTGATCTCTCTAAACTCGATTAAACTAATGGATAGATAATTTAAAAATCTATGTTATTCACGTTTTATTTAATTTCTTAAGTTCGTTTTTCTTTTTTTAATTGAACAAATTCCAAAAATTTGTACGTATTTCTTACTCTATATATTGTAGCGAGAGTGCGTGGATTGTATAGGACCGAACGCTCAAGGTCGTTTGCTAGGAGTAGCGCCTTAAGACTTTTTATCTATAATATTATAGGAGACCCCTTGCGTGGGGATATCATTAAACCTATTTCTGCTATGAAGCAGCGGTACATCCATTACTATAATCCAACTTAAAAGGTAGTCACGCGCTATGATTTGCGCGCGGAATTTCTTGGTTATTCATATTTTGTATGCATGTTTTCATTGATTCGAATTGCAATATTTCTCTAGTATATATTTGAAACTATATTGTAATTTATCGTAGGTATAGTAATTAATTATTCTAAAAACGCAATTATGTTTTCGGTGGTATTACAAACAGCAGGCTGGCCCGTGATTTTTCTGAAATATCGTCACAATACTGATTACCTACGTCATACGTGTCAGTGTTTCATATATGAATGTGTTTGAATATGTTTTTGGTCAACAATAAATACAATTATTATAAATCGGTAAACTACCAAAGTAGTCACAAATTAAACTTGCAGTTGCTAAATACGGTTTTGCCGGGTTACATTAAACACCTTTTACCCATTTTCATAAACAGTTTCAGACAGACACACATTATTAGTTTGTTATATTTTGTAAAGCTCAAGTTCACGGTTATGGTGCGTTCAGAAACATATATAATTCGGTAACATAAAATCCTTTTTTCTGTTCCGTGCTTGCTTATAAATAAATAGCTTATTCTAATCTGAGTTATATTTTTCTTATTCGTCGGCCAATTCCACCAGGAATATAAAGATAACATTGAAATAAAAAGATAAGTAATTTTTTGTACATTTTAGTGTTCTAGATCTTGTGTTTCGAACGCAACCCAATTCATATGGAATTGAAGGAAGATTTGTATATATAAAAAAAAATATATATATATATAATATATATATATATATATATATATATAAAAATGTACATTTATATTTTTGTTATACTAAAAGCTTTTGTTGAGTACTTCGAAATTAGGAAATATTATTTTCACCTTCCTGGTTATTATCATAAAATAAATCGTGTTATAGATTTGTTGTTATCTCTTGTTTATGAATTATAGTTTCTTGCATGTTGGTTATGAAATGTCTAATTATTTAATAACGTACAAATCATCAGTGTTATTAGTTTTGAGTGAATAGGCATGTATCATCATAATTATGTTGCTTCAAATAGGTACTTCTGTTTTGATAAAAAAATTCAATAGTGTAATGTAATAAAATAAAACTGCGTTATATTGTAATCAATGTTGACATAATTTATTTCCCAAAGTTATAAATCAATTAAATAGTTTACGCCAACAAATATAACTTTTATTTTTATAACAATCGTACATAGCGTTTTGTAGTTCTGCCTATCCAATCTACACATACAGAAAAATTAAAAACTTGTTTTTTACATACTCGCCATCTAGTGTTCTAGCTTCGTAAACGTAGGGATACGTCGGTGTGTGTAAACGACACTATATTCAATGACAGATGTTATAATCAAAATTAATGTCGAATTGGGTGGATTTTGAGGCAATGATATGACCCATTCCAATAAAATGTAGTATCCGATAACCGCAAAGTCTACTCCTACGACTTAATAATTTTCCAATTACACAAAAACCCAAATAAACTAAAAATGTTGACTTCAGCGCCATCTTGCGGGAGAATGGCTGGGAGCAGTCCGTAGGTTTCTACTAATAATATTAATACTAAGGTGTGATAACGCATTTGTGATCAGAGGTTTCTTCAATCTTATTTAAAAAGCCTTCTGAAACTTCAATTTGCAATAAACTTAACATTTCAATATATTACAGGCGTCGACTTCTGCTAACAATTCGACCACTTTTGGAAGCATACACGATGACATGCAAATGCCTCAGTAGCGGACCTCAGAAGCAAATCGTCACTACAACTCTGAACACACTTACGGAAGAGTTCACGCAAAATAGAATGCCATATGGTACGTTAATATTGTATTGTTGTGTGAACATTGAAAGTTGATGTAACATTTTCTTTAAAAAGAGGTATGAATCTTATGTTATTGAATATGTGCACAAAAAAGAAAATCATGTATGGATGTTGCCGTCAAGGCAAATAAAATATGCTAAATATACAGGCATGATTTTTCTATGCAAAACACTTACCAATGAAAGGAAATCATTTTGATGACATTCATGACTGTATGAGCTAAGAAATTTTGCCTGTGCTACACTGAAGTTACGTCCCTTATCCTATAAAAAAGTAGCAATGTTTTCATACATTTGATCGAATTTTTATAACAGATAATTTAATTTACGTTAAGTTATATATATATATATATAGAAGTGGCCCCACAGGAAGTGGACCTGGTCGAGCCCCGACGGTTCGACAAAAAATGAAATTGACTTCATTATGACGACCAGACGCCAACTGTTCAGTGATGTCTCAGTGATCGCAAGGGTGAAAACTGGCAGCGATCACCGAATGGTTAGAGGCACACTGAACCTAAACGTTAAGTTGGAGAGGTCTCGTCTAATGAAGTCAACGCTCCGTCCCCCTCGTGCTCTAATCCAGAATCCCGAAACCTTTCAGCTCGAGTTACGTAACCGCTTTCAGTGCCTAGAAGATTGCAATGCAGTGGACGATATGAATGACAAGCTCGTGGAAACTGTCCATGCGGTCGGAGCTATGTTCTGCAAGACCGGTCGCAGAAGAACACAAAAGCTCTCCGACCACACTCTTAATCTCATGGCTGTTAGACGGGAGATGAGGCTGCAATAGTCAACAGATTTGACAGCATACAGGCAACTGAACAGACAGATCTCCAAATGCATGCGGCGAGACTTACGCAACTTTAATACTGCTCGTATTGAAGAAGCGATTGAGCGGAACCAGGGCTCCAAAGTCTTTGCCAGAGATCTGTTTGCCAGTAAGAGCCAACTGTCAAAGACAGTGTGGCAGCATCGTTTCCAGGACACCTGAGATTCTGAGTGAGATTGAGAGGTTCTATGGGCTGTACACATCAACGTTGGAGCCACACGCAAGTGTGAGTAACGATCCAAGAGCGGGTCTTATCCGACACTATTCTGATGATATCCTGCACGTCAGTCTGAGCGAGATTAGAATGGCTCTCCACCACCTTAAAAACGGCAAGTCCTCGGGCGAGGATGGAATTACAGCGGAGCTTCTGAAAGCGGGTGGAAAACCGGTACTTGAAGTCCTTCAGAGGCTCTTTAATTCCGTCCTCCATGGTGGCACTACTTCGGAGGCGTGGAGCAGAAGTGCGGTGGTCTTGTTCTTCAAGAAAGTCTATATAAGTATATAGATATCCCTTCTGAGCCGCGTCTACGTGCTGTTTTCGAGAGTCATTACGAATCGTCTCGCACGCAGACTCGACGACTTCCAGCCTCCCGAACAAGCCGGTTTCCGAAAAGGCATCTGTACCATAGACCACATACATACCCTTCGGCAAATTGTACAGAAGTCCGAAGAGTACAATCTGCCACTTTGGCGTATGTGGACTATGAAGAAAGCCTTTGATTCCGTCGAAATTTGGGCGGTGCTACAGTCTCTTCAGCGGTGCCAAGTTGACTGTCGGTATATCGAAGTGCTGAAGTGTTTGTACAGTAGGGCTACGATGGCTATCCGAGTACAGAACCAGAATAAGAAACATGCTACCAACTGCAAGGAGGTGTAAGACAGGGTGACGTTATATCCCCGAAACTCTTCACCGCTGCTCCGGAAGACGTTTTCAAGCTACTGGACTGGGAAGGATACGGTATCAACAACAATGGCGAGTACGTCACTCACCTTCGATTTATCGAAGATATAGTCCTTATGGCAGAATCGCTGGAAGACCTAAGCACTATGCTCAATGGCCTCAATGGTGTCTCCCAACGGATAGGTCTTAAGATGAACATGGACAAAACAAAGATCATGTTTAATGTCCATGTCACACATATGCTGGTAGTTGTTGGGAGCACTATGCTCGAAGTTGTTGACGAGTACGTTTACCTGGGACAAATAGTCCGACTAGGTAAGTCCAACTTCGACCGAGAGTCCAACTCGGCTGGGCAGCGTTCGGGAAATTACGACACATCTTCTCGTCAGGTATACCTCAAACTCTGAAAACTAGATTGTACAACTAGTGCGTATTGCGAGTGATGACTTACGGATCTGAAACTTGGTCCTTTTCTGCTCATGGTCGCTCAACGAGCTATGGAAAGGGCTATGCTCGGAGTTTCTCTGCGTGATAGACTCAGAAATGAGGATATCCGCAGTAAAACTAGAGTGACCGACATAGCCCAACGGATTCGTAAGCTGAAGTGGCAACGGGCCGGCCATATAGCTCGAAGAACTGATAACCGATGGGGAAGAAAAGTTCTCGAACGGCAGCCTCGTATCGGTAGGCGTAGTGTATATATATATATATATATATATATATATATTAATATATATATTAAATAATTATTTTATAGAAGTATGGGTTACAAACGAGCATGTAGTCCAGCTAGTGGTAAAAGAATGCTGTGGCCCATATAAGACACCTATATAATAGATCATTTAGACTAGTGGCAACCTCATACTAAATGCAGTGTAAAGTTGAAGTAACTTCGATAGAAGGAGTGACGACTTGATGAGATTTGGGGACAAGGGATGCAAATAACAGTAGAATGCCTTGAGGCAGCCCTAGGGAAGCTTAGAGTAAGGGAGCAGTGGATTTGTGGTGGGTTATATTAATGATGATGATAATGATGCAAATAATTTTTACAAAATTTTCAGGAGAAGCTGTCTCTACGGACGCGATTAGAAATTGCCACAAGTTGTTGCGGCAGTGGGGTGTTATTGAAATGTATTCAGAGAATCGAGAAAGGAAAATAAGGATATGTTCACCATATGAAAATAAACAGAGTTTAGACGATGTATGCGCTAACGTGTATAAGTTTAATATGAACACGCCCCTATTAACTGAAATAGTTAATGTGAAGTGAAAGTGTAATAGACTTAAAATGCCAAAGCTCTTAGAGCCGTGTGATAATTGTTAAAAAATAACTCCCAGTGTGTGATGACTGAAATATGTGATTCTAGTATAAGCAGTTTGGTGGAAGTTCTATGCAATAGAAAAGTTTATTGCGGTATTGTAAGATAAAAATTTTGTTTTATAATTTGAAGATCACAATTTATTTCACGAATGTGTCTGTTTGAGTTGGTTTAATGTAGTACGATCATTCATTGTGTATTCAAGTGGTATTGTGAGATAAAATGTTTTATATTATAGTTTTCTGCATTATTTACAATTATTTGACGTCACCTTTCGCCGAAAGCTATAATTTTGAGTTTGATGCATTGTACTGGAGATGACTGCTATCATGGCCCAATATGTATGACATAAATGCTGATCTGTATAAAATGATATATTTCAATATGATACCGATTGTTGAACAATTCTAAATCAGAATGACAATGTTGCCAGTTGCATCAACATTGATTTAATATGAAAATAAGATTAATAGTTCAAATATTATAGTTCGTTCGGAAAGACAACTATATTGGTGGAAATGTGGACTGGAATTAATATTCCAAAATGATTATTTAATGTTTTAAGTAAAAAACAAAAGAATTAACACATATTATATAAACATTGGGTGCGTTTGGCAAAAAAAGCGCTAGCAAGCGCTTGTAAGCAAAATGGCGATCGTAAGCGCTCAGCGCTGTTAAATCATAAGTAGCTATTTTCCTCTAGGACACGAAGTTAGTTTTAACCGGGGAACCTAACCTAATTTAAGTATATGTTTGTAAAGTATTCGTATTAAAAACTTACCAATCATGAATTTTTAATAACATGTATATGTCTATTCATGTCATTATATTACTTAAAACTAATATTGCACAAAACAACTTATAAACTCTACTTCAAAACAAACATATTTAATAAGCAAAATGGCGGATTGTGTCAGCGCTACTGAAGTTAGCAAACGTGTCCTGGCCGAAAACTGTTAAGTTTCGCCATTTTGCTTACAAGCGCTTGCTAGCGCTTTTTTCTGCTAAACGCACCCATTGACACTCCAATGTACTCAAATACTATGTCTGTTCTTTTTTTGAAATAAACTGCAATAGGCATAATTTCACTGAATTAACATTGGCAAGGTTGGGTAATTGACACCTTCCATAATAAATTACCACATTTAAGAGTTTGATGCCCAAATACTCAAAACCTACTCACTTTTAAGATGTTGTTAAGACTCGTGCTGTCTATATCACTTTAGGTCAAAGGTACTGTGACACCATGAAACTTAACAAAATTTTAAAATTGAGTTGCGTTTGAGTATTTAGCCATGAATTTTTTTTTTTCAAGTAATATCCCAAAACTTGGCCGGTTATTTAATTTTAAGTTGCATAGAAATGTTATTGTTTTAAAAATATATCAATAAAATGTTTATTGACTGCGTGAAACTATGACAATATGTACTGGTACTCGCATGCAATTTTTATATGTTGGTTTTGTTTTGACGGCTCCTAACAAGTATTTTAATTGACTCGGAGCGTCTACTACCCTGTACTATTAAGAGGCCATAAAGTAAAAAAACTGACTATAATACACTAGTAGTTTTAGAAAAAAACATTTAGCATAGTGCATATAGCTTTTTTGGCTGGCTATTCAATGTACTGTTAACAGTGTTAAAAAGCTTTTGTATGTTACGGATCTTTTTTCGACCCGACTTCGAAAGGAGAAGGTTCTCAATTGTTACCTCAGAACTTTTTTCCAGGTGAAATGGTTTTGATAATTCTTCTTTTATTTGAAAGCTAGTGCTTCTCATGTGGTCCCATATAAAATTCATCAAGAGTTTTTGAGTTATGCTTAATAATGCGTATTTAATTGACTTCGACTATATTGATGACGTTCTCATTTTATTTATATTGAAGTCGGTTGTACAAAATTTCTAATTTTACCACTAATAATAATGTCCTCCAGACCGAATTTCGGCCACGGCGGCCTGCCTCAACGGAGGCTAGCCATCGTCGCGGGACAGGATTATAATGCCCAAGTGTATGCGCAAGCACAGGTGCACTCTCTATTCCCTCACTCTCGAATCCGATGGGACGGTAAACCGACACGATCGGGAGAGAGATCAGGCGCAGGACCAACGGCTTTACGTGCTTTCCGAGGCACGGAGGTGAGACACCGCCAACTTCCTGAATCCGGGCAACTACTGAGAATTTCTTGACGGATAAACTCAATAATTAATTTTTTGGCCCGACCCGGGATTCGAACCCAGGACCTCATGATCAGCAGCCGCACTACTACAATCACTAGACCAACGAAGCAGTCAATTTAAATTAACTATTATAATCCAGTGCTCGACTACTGTTACACCTTATGGTAAGTGGTGACGCCAAAGTGCCAAAGTGGGCAAATCGCACTGACTTTGCTTAACGAAAGCCCATTCGTTCTTCTGGGGTGGGGTAATAGATCTAATGGGATTGTATTTATATTGTGCAATTAATAGCGATAGCCAAAATATAGGAGCACTAAATTGACAAAGGGCTCTAAAGTGTAGACCATAGACTAAATCGTTAAATATAATGTGATCGTTTTTAATTGTCTCTGTATATCCCAGCCATAGACAATACAGATAAGAGCACTATAGCAGTCATCTGTTTTTACCCAGCTGCCCCAGAATGTCTATGATTTTGTTATATAAAAGTTTGAAATAAACACATATTATATATACCTGTTTCTTTATGATTTTAACCCTTTCATTGCCTCCTGTGAATAGAAACATGTTACCCCCATGCCGTCATACATTTGAAGGCAGCCACCCAACGGCGTCTAAAGCATCTCGCTGAAGCATTCTAAGGTGCCTATCGGCGACTTCGGTATAATGTAGTAGAAATCGACGTGTATACCAGAAAACAAATACTATTGTTTTTTTTTAAAGTCAGGAAACGTCAACCTTTTGTAAATTTACAAAGGTGCCTTTTCAATTTTTTCAGTGAACTTCATGCACATATTTGTTTTCAGACCAAGCTTCGATTCTAATATAAATATATATATATATATATTTACCACGTGCTCGGCGGTGAAGGAAAACATCGTGAGGAAACTTGTATGTCAAAGAAATAAGAAAAAAAATATTTCGAAGACATGTGAATTTCGCCAACACGCATTGGGGCAGCGCGGTGGACAACTCTTTGCCCTAAAACCCTCTCTGATTGAGCGGAGGCCCGTGCCCAGCAGTGGGACGTATATAGGCTGTAACTTTACTTTTATATAAATATATATCCAATTAAGGCTGTAGTCCACCTCGAAGTGGTACTTATCGTTTGATCCATGTATTAGGCGTGTGCGAGCGACGCTGTCACTACTTCAAAAAATCCGCAGTCCCAAAAGCATTTTTTCCGCTTACTCATAGTCAAGACTCTAACTAACGGATTAAATCTTGATTGGTAACAATTCAAACCAAGAAATTAATCAAACAACAAATTTCAATTTCAACTTCAAATGATCCGAGGAGCCTAAAGGGGCGTCGACGGAAATCTGATATCTGTCCGGATGAGGTCAGCAGAAGGTCCAACAGGGAAGGTGTATGGTCCTCCACATCTGGAATCCGCGTAGACGAAGTAACCAGTTGTGTCAGACCATATGCCAAGGCAAAATCATGAACAGATCTCCCCGCATGATCGGTTAAACGTGAACCAAACCACTCGGCGTGGTGGGCGTTAAAATCGCCGAGGATCACGATCTCTGCGGAGGGAATCTGCTGTAGTAAAGAACTTGGATATGGTCGAAGAGTCGGTCTGTTTCGGCATTACCGTTATGGGACCTATAGAGGCACCCGTAGACGCGCGGATGGTCGTCGCTGTCTACGCGTAGCCAAAGAATGGACAGGTCCGAACCTTCAAGACTGCCGAGGAGTCCAGAACAGATGTCCTTTCTCTCGCGTATACGCAAACTCCAGCCCGAGGCACAAAGGAGTGTTCCAGTTTGTACCCCGGGTAGGACAGGACACCTGCGTCTTGGTCAGAAAGAGCAAAGCCGGCCTCGCCGTCTCGAGATGGTAGTGGACGGTGTTTCGTTTAGAATGAAGTCCCCTGATATTGCAGAAATTCACGGATAGCGTGGCAGGGGTCGCCTTGGTCTTGTTGCTGAATTTTGCCTCCCCCAGAAGACCCGTGGCAGACTGAGCACCCACGCTATCCACGCGTATGTTGGTCGTGGATGCTCAGCGAGGGATTCTCCAAGGGTGCTGGTAACCTCCTGGTGTAAATTTTTACTTACCATTCTATTTATGTATCATTTTAATTTAATGCCACTCCATACATACATGTATCAATTAATACTTATGTCTTTGACATTGGCTTTATACCATATAAAACAAATTCGATTATTCGATATTCAACTCTGAGTAGTTTTTAAGTTAAAGAACACGTTTCTTAGTCTTAACTACGTTATTAATATTCGACGCCTTTGTCTTTACTTTACTACCTTTGACTGGCAAAAAGGGGATGAAAGTAACTAACTTTTACCACCGAAGAAGGGTAAGGACCAAAAAATATATAAAAACATCTAAGCAGACCTCTATAAAATTTGTTACATTTAATGTTACCTTATGCGATAAAAACACGGACTTAAATTAACGGAAGAGCGTTATATGGCCGCCTACTAAAAACGCTTCTTGCAATGGTATCCCTATGACATAAGGTACAGGAGTGCCAATATATAATATGGTGTGACCAACCAACTGGTCTCTTAGATATTATCTTGTTCATACTGTGACCATTGTTGCCCGTTAACTACCATTGCATTGTTCCATTCTCCTCTATTAGCGAAATAATTTTGGGAACATAAAAAATAAAAGACCAACATACAGACATGGTCACAATACTTCTATTATACTTGAACAAAAAAAAATGGTCTGGCTCGGTTCGGACCCAGCAATAAATTGTTAGAAATCTCTTCTTTAAATTTCTTGAAGCCCGAATTTTGAACCCGATCTTGACCAGCCGTACGATTATGTAACTCTGATTTAGGTTTTTTATTATAGAATAATGGTGACAAACATACATACAGTCCATCTGATGGTAAGTGGATGTTGTGGCCCATAGATATAGGTACATAAACGTACATAAACACTCACGCCTGTCACCCAGAGGGGTATGCAGAGACTACAGACTTCCATTTAGCACGATCCTGACATACTCTCTCGCCTCTTCCACATCCATATACCTACGCATACATGCTCGTCGGTTAAGGGTACTCTTAATTTGGCCCATTTTTAGTATATCGCCAATTTGGTCGACAAACTTCCGCCAAAGACGTCCCTTTCAGACTCTTCCATTCACTTCTGCAACATATATTTGCTTTGTCAGTCTTTCCGCATTCATTCTTTCTACATGACCAAACCACCGAAGCATTCCTTTCTTAATCCTGGTCACCGCATTATCTTGCAAACCACACTTTTATTTTATCACACAGTTTCTCACCCTGTAACTCAGATTCAGCCCTAACGTACTCCTTAGCGACCGCATTTCTACTGCATTTATTCTACTCTCGTGCTTCGTACCATACGTTAAAGTAGGGACTAATACAGCACTGTGAATTGCCATACGTACCTTTTTTGACACATTCTGACTTTGCACAATAGAGTGTAGAGCCCCATTTACTTTATTTCCTGCATTCACTCGTCGTTCAATATCCTTATCATATCTCCCCTACCTGCTGAAAACACATCCCAAATATACGAACTCATCCACTTGCTCAATTAACTCTCCTTCTATTCTTATTTCACATTCCGTTTTGCTTTCTTCTCTTTCAAAAACCATCACTTTCGTCTTACTTGCGTTCACTTTCATTCCCCTTTCTTCTAATTCCCAGTTCATTAATGTAACCATCATTTGCAACTCGGCCGCCGACGACGCAAGTATGACTTGATCATCGGCGTACAAAAGGCATTTGATGGTTAACTCACCCATTCTTAACCCGCATTCTTCAACTTTCAAATTTTCTAAACAACTGTCCATAAATAGGTTGAACAGCCACGGGGAAGCTACACAGCCCTTTTGTGACACCTTTATGGATGCCAAACCTGTCGGAGTAGACCCCGTTGATTCTAACACAAGCACTCGAGTCCCTATACAGTAACTTTAATGCCTGTATTAAACCAGCGCTCAACCTAAATGCGTTCAGCGTTTGCCATAACACATCCCTGTCCACTCTGTCATAAGCCTTTTCCAAGTCCATGAACGCACAAAAAACATTTTGGTTTTTCGCCAAAAACTTCTCCGAGATTATGCGCATGGAAAAGACTTGATCTGTACACCCCATTCCCTATCTAAAACCCGCTTGCACATCCCAAATTATTTCATCAGTTTCTTTCATAACTCTTTCAATCAGTACCTTAGCATACAGTTTTCCCACAATACTAAGAAGGCTGATACCACGGTAGTTTTTACAGTCCTGATGTGACCCTTTTCCCTTATATATTGGGACTATCACGGCTTTGCACCAGTCTCCCGGTACCCGCTTTAGTTCCCAACATAAATTAAACAAGGTGTACAGCAGGCCTGCCACCACGTCCTCTCCAGCCCTTAGCATTTCGAGTGAAACTCTATCATATCCGGCTGCCTTACCTACTTTCATGCTTTTCATTGCTTTCATTATTTCATCTATACTTATCTATCCCTTTCATCTTCTGTCAGAATTTCTATTTCATTTAGTTCACACGTCTCCTCACTCATAAATACGCTTTCAAAATATTGCTTCCATTTCTTTAGACTCAACACTTCATCATTCAGAATACAGCCATTCTCGTCTCGTATCGCATTCAATCTAGGCTGTTTTGAAAGTCCCTTGGTATTTCTTACGAGTTTCCAGAACATTTTAATATTTGCCTAGAAGTTATCCGACATTCTTTTATTATTCTTATCCGTTCTTTCTTGCTTTTTCCTTTCAACTAATTCTTTTACTCTCTTATTTAGACGTTTAAACTCTGCCTTTTTTCTTTCAATCTCATCATTCATACCGCCAGAATTACCAGCTTTGGTCGCTAGTAAATCTAGCCATGCTCTCTTCTTTGCTTCAACTTCCATACGTACCACATTATCCCACCATAACGTATTGTTTTTCCTTTCATTCGTTCTCTTACTAACACCACATACTTCGGTAGCTGCATCCACTAAACCTTTCTTAACATTATGCCACACATTCTCCAAGTCTAACTCATTCACACACAACTCATCCAAATTACTTATATTTTCTCTCAGTCTACATTTGTACTTGTCTTTCACATCATCTTGTAACCTCTCAATTCTTATACGCTGTAACACAGTGGTAGACACAGATGTCCTATGCCGCCGTCTGAATAAATCCTTAATTCGGCATAAGACCAGGAAGTGGTCCGTCCCCACGTTGGACCCCCGGTAAACCCTTGTATCCACCACTGCGCTCCTCATTCTTTCATCCACAGTTATGAAATCTATTATGCTTCTATCATCACCTCTTTCCCAAGTATACATGTGAATCTTCTTATGACGAAAGAAAGTGTTTGTCACAAAAAGATTCCTTTCCACACATACGGTGAGGAGGCTTTCACCATTCTCATTAATACTTTCATCACCAAACGTTCCCAGTATCCTTTCATAGCCAAGCCTCCTCACCCCAACCCTTCCATTAAAATCTTCTAACATAACAATATTTTCATTTTCCTTACATTTCATTAACACCATCCTTACCATCTCTCAAAATAGCTCTCAGATATAAGTGGGCTTAGACTTGTCTGGGGCGTAGACCTCTAGAACAAACAACTTCTTTAGGCCCACTTTTATTCGTATCTATCTTCAAATAAGAATTAAAACGCGTTGTCGCCCCTAAAGACTAAGATGAAATGTCTCGTTGGCGTTCGTCCCTTGAAAAAAGTCTCAGGTTCTCCTCACTCACCAGCAACATTAAGTTTCGTTAAACTGTGTTAATATATCTGATACATTTATTGATAATAAGCGGGTATTTTTTATATTACTATCATATTTTTGTTCACTTAATATTATCATAAAGCAAAAATATAACGCAGTTGCACATGATTTTTATCGGTAAACGATTTCCACCAGAGTTACACCATTGCGTTAAAAGTTGTAGATAAATAAAAGTTTCCCCTCCTTTAACCTAAAACCTCCACCTTTTGACGTATGTCAAAAATAAAATACCGTTAATTTGTCATAATTACATTTATTTACAATAATATTTTATATTCATTTTATATATATAGAATAATGTACCTAAATTAGAATAAATATTTCGTTAAAATTTTTTTCTTTCAGTACCAATTTAAACATATTTAGAAAAATTAAATACAATAACAAAACAACATTTATCTCCCAATATATTATTTCTTATCTTATATAATAAGCCTAAAATTAAATTATAAAACTTATATCTAATAACAATAAACCTCCATCAATCTAGATATTTGTGCGACATGCGTAAACTAAGCCAGGAGATTGACAGAAGCATCTTCTTGATAATAATCTCATAATAAAAAACTGCGGTCTCTAAACTTCCTGCTAACTATGGCAACCATCCTCCCCTGAGCAATGATACAAAAAACGGACCCCCAACTAGAAAATATATCAAGGAATATACTAACGCTCTGACGAGAGAAATAGATTTTTGCTGGGATGTTTGTAACATGGTCGGAAGACAGGGGAAGGACATGGTGATTCTCAAATCCTGCCACTTAATCTGTTACCAGGAGGGCGACTATCTGTACCAAGGAGAAATGGTTTTATCGTCTTTAAGGCTCTCATTAACAGGCAGCGTGTTTATAAAGGACCTTTGCATACCTCCTCTGAAGCTCATAAAAGTTATCGCATTATCATTAGCACATTTTGATAGAGATAAAAAGACGATTTATGATGATATTACAGAGCCAACATTTCTCTTAAATAACTACAGGGTATTGATGCAATGATCTGAAGGTACGGAAATTTGGAATAGGACAACAAAACCTGAACGGGTTAAACGACTGACTTTATGGAGAAAGAAAGGCTCTATGATGAACTTTTTATTCTAGAAGCGTCTTAACAGAAAGCGGACACGGCGATTCAACGAAAAATAAGATTGACTTGATTATGTCGATCAAGTGATAACTGTCCAGTTAAGTCAATGGGTTCAGGTGGTTGAGGACCGCGTTTATGTAGCATTCCTGGATCCTATGTTTAACAGTGGACGTGAAGGCCTGTAAGTGTGAAGGTAAATTCATATTTTATTATCTATACTAGTATCTTTCCTAGATTGTTTCGTTACTTACACTCATAGAAATACGATGAACCCTACTATAAATTAACAAATCGCTTAAAAATCGAAAAAAAATTGCTTTTTTTTTAAAGTAAAGTCAAGGGGCATGTATTTGTGGACTAAACCATCTTTTCTACATTTTACGGAACTATATTACCGCCGCTAACATCCTAGCAAACATTGCTTTTTCTTTCTCATGATATTCTATTTGAACCAGAAAATTATTTAAACGTCTACTAGCACTAATTTTAATTTCTCGGTGAGATATTGCCATTAGATGGTTTTGCAACTCTTCCGACGTTGACGCGATTATATTGCAAAATCCACAGTGATAAATACCGTCGCGAATCTGAAATAAGACATTTCTTGATGACATATTTCTTTGAAAACATTTTGAAAAAATAATATAGTTTGTTAAATTCATAATATGGGGTAAACCAGTACTCAAAATTGAAATCAACTTTCATTAGTGCTAGCGGGAATCGAACCCGGTATACCAATACAGAAATAAAATCTGTAATAGATGGAGCTATAATAAAAATTTCACCTTTCTTATAAATTCGTTTTCCCAAACAACAATTACTTCAGCTTTGTTTAATAATGTTTTGTGATGTTGAGTTTTTGAGTGTAATTCTAATGAATGCACAATGTTTCTCTCACACAGTTGGCATCGAACTGTATTTTCGTTGTGAGTAATAATGTGAAAACTTGATAAGGCTATGCAGAATATTTTATTTAATATTACAAATTTTTCACCAAGAACAGTTTCAATTAGAGTATAAGTTTTCATAAATTTCTCCATTGGGGATTTTGAAATATTTTCTTTGTGCAATGCATTTGAAATATGATCCTCCATATGTTTTAGGGATGATGAAATTCTTATATCACAAGCATTACAATAAGCATATCTTTTTCTAAAACTAATTTTCAATCCGTTTTCTTTTGCAAATTTATATGCAATTTCTATTGCTTCATGAGATTCGTGAACTTTAGAGTGACTTAATTCTTGCTCAATAATTTTACCCTCCAATTTGCTAGATATATTTTTATGATTTTCTCCAATGTTCTCTGACGATGAGGCTTTTGCATTGTCTTTTTTTGATTCATCGTATATTTTAATGGGATCTGTTTCCTTTTTATTTTTTGGTGTTTTAGTGATCACTTTATTCTTACTTTCATCTTTTTTAAGCGTGCTTTTATCACTCTTTTTTGCATCGAGCTCAATTTTATGCTTTAATAATTTATCTTGTATAGTGTTTGGAGCATTTTTTTCATTATCAGTGGCATCATTTTCAGTCACCAGTCTTTTTTGATTACTGGTGTTCAATTGAATGTATAATTCCTTGCATTTCATATATTTTTCGAGATGGTATTCATTTTTGAAATGCATTGAAATAGTGTCCATACTGGATATTGAATTACATACCAGGCAGTTATAACATTCACCGTCCACCTAAAATCAGATAAAAATAAAATAAAATTTAAACCCAAGCATACCATTGCAAGACTTCAAGATACATGATCACAGGTGCTGTAAAGAACCAGATAAATAAAAAGTCAAAATTAAACGCGATAAAATCTGTAAAATTCGTGTCATTTAACATTTTATAAGAAACTTCTTGAAATGTGTGCTTCGCACACACATTTATAATTTTCTCTGAGTATTAGTTAGGGGTTCAATACAACAGTTTCTAGTTCTACCACCTCATCTAACCAAGCAATATGGTCGAAACATTGTCACTTCAGAACTTCAGATGGATCAGCTGATGCGCTGTTTGTCATATCGCAGGCGTAGTGGAATATCTCTCCGTATTTGTAACAAAATTTATATAATCTTCCTTACCTTACGAAAAATGTTATTGTTTTCATTAAACTCCGGTTTGTTTAGAATTAAATTGAAAATATGTGAAGAATTATTTTTGTGACTGTTTTCATCTGGAACATCAACGTTGCAAATGATGCAAGTGTTGTCAATTAGACCATGCCAAGCTTTATCTTCTATAAATATATTATTGAATGCAACCACGCCATTTTCAACTTTCTTTAGCAACAGCAGTCCTTTATTGTTTATATGAGTCATTTCATTTACATGCCGTTTTATAGCCTGTTTTGTTGCGAACAAAATGTCACAAGATTCACAATGAAATCCTTTCTTTACCTGAAAATGTTATACAGGATTATTCTGGGAGTATCTAAATTTTATATTTAAGTTATAAATAATGATATACAATTATTGCAGTTTTTGAAAATACGAGTGAATAAAGCTTCTACTTTTATTTAAAACTGCATAATTGGAATAATTATCTCAAACTGAATGTAGGTAATTAATGTTTTTGTCCACCACTCCGAAGTGCTCCTTACACTGTGCCTAGCGATCCTTTACGAATGTGTGCGTAGTAAAATAGTGGGCATTAAATATTTATGAATTAGTTAAAATAATACATTACCACCCATTCTAAATTTAAAAGATAAAAAAAAGGACTGAATGTTTGAATTTTTTTTTAATAAATTTTTCTTCATGCATGTAACTCAGTATATTGGGGGTATGTTCCAAAATACAACCCAGTGTACTGTCCAATGCAAATGACGTCATGAATCGTCGCTACACTGGTGATTCGATCCAAAACATAGGACAGTATATGACGTCATACATTTGCGACATATTGGAAAAGTGTTGGCGATTATTTTCTCATTTTGTGCTCTAAAAATTATTATATCCTCATAATGGAGATACCAGCAATTGTTCTATAATTTTTTGTATTTGAATAAATAAAAACAAATTCTGGCATGCTTCATTCAGCGATACACACAATAAAAATTGTTCTATTATGGCCGGATATCCGACACAGTGTGGCGGCGGCACGCCAGTACATTATAGTGTCAATTGATGACGTCATTTTTATTCAGCAGTATACTCAAAACGTTTTGGAACATACCCTGGGTTTTAATGGAAAAATTGAAAGCGTTTTTATTTTATAAGCGGTCTTTTATTTCCTATGAATCCTATAATAATAATTTTTTTTACAGAATAAGGGTGACAAACAAGTACACAGTTCACCTGATGGTAAATGGATGCTGCTTAGAATAGACCTAGACATCTACATTTATCCTCGATTAAGAATCAAAATAAATCATTAGACTACGAACAGACAGAAAAACTATTTGAACGTATTGTTTAAATATATATTACACGCTTACACACCACACACATACACACTACCGACACATTAATATCACTTAATAGACCTACCTACCTTTATTAGTCTAAACAGGTTTTTTTTTTATATACATCTAATATATTTTAATAATTTTTAAACAGTTTCTCCAACAACGTTGTTGTAAGTTGTTAGTTGTAATCTTTATTAAGAGTTACAGCAATATCACTTCTGTTGACGGAGGGGCCTGGTGATCCCATAGCACGGGCAACCTAGTTTGGGCACCATTCTCCCACCTAGATCTAATTTGGTTAGTATTTACAGCTGTTATTTAGCTGTATAAGTTTACACTTAGTTTATTGTAATGTACTGATAATATGTGGGAGAAAATAAATACTATTTTATTATTTATTATTATTGGGGGGTATCAATATAGTTTTCTCATCTGGTTGGGTTCTATAAATATACAGGGTTACTGGTAACTCGACGTATTCCCGCCAAGGCGTGATAGTTGGGGTCATAACCTATCAAATGAACCATAAAATGCATTATGCAAGTGTGGACCAATTTCGAGATATTTAGGTTTAATTATTTTTGCAAAAATCCCAAAAGTCTGGTGTCAAAAATTTCTAAAAAAAAACTTACAGCTGCATTATTTTCATTTTATTATTTTTACTTAATGAAAACCTGGATACTTATTTATCAATACTACAGTGTGCAAAAAGGCTCATTATTTTCGAAGTAACACTACTAAAAGTACAACTTTTTCCAAACAGAAGATAAGTAATTTGATTGCCTTGCATGATCTCCGCGTCTTGGTGGTTCCGCCGCCATAAAACTTTGAAACTCAACTTCTTTAAGTGTAACAGGGAGGGATATGCGCGCGTGTGTACGATGCCTGTAATACCGATGACTGATTGAACAGTTTCTTCTTGTTTAACTTGTTTCTAATTTCACACTAAATGTAAACAATAGCGTAAGTTCAAACGCACAATCATTTACGAGCATTCCCGCAGCTGTTGATAAGGTTCCGAGAAGCGATTGTTTGGGATTACCCAAAACATTGCTACTCGGAACTTGTCTACCTGGCCCCTTTTTTTCAAGTTTTTTCTGTACTATTTAAATTACAAGCTAAATTGATACTTCGTTAGGTAGCTAGATAAGTAGGGATGTTTTTAACATGATTTGCACAATTGGCCCACATACAATTATTTTTCACAAAATCATTTTTATTTTTAATTACTTATCTTAATCTTAAAGTACAACTTTTTCCAAACAGAAGTTTGGAAAAAGTTGTACTTTTAGTAGCGTTACTTCGAAAATGATGAGACTTTTTGTACACTGTAGTATTGATAAATAAGTATCCAGGTTTTCATTAAGTAAAAATAATAAAATGAAAATAATACAGCTGTAAGTTTTTTTTTTAGAAATTTTTGACACCAGAATTTTGGGATTTTTGAAAAAAATAATTAAACCTAAATATCTCGAAATTGGTCCACATTTGCATAATGCATTTTATGGTTCATTTGATAGGTTATGACCCCAACTATCACGCCTTGGCGGGAATACGTCGAGTTTCTAGTAACCCTGTATAATTATAAATGGAAGATATACATAAATATCAATAAAATTAAATAAATATAAAAATACATAAATAAATAAAAGCCCAACCAGATGGAGGCCCTCGGCAGGGGAGACCAAACGGCCGAGGGTTAGGGGGAAAGGGAAAGAAACCGGCGGACGATGCGGACGGTATCGAGGAGCACCGCCTTCTGCATTTGAGCCAGGAGCGGTCCGCCACGTAGTCTCAGCCGCCTCAGATGACCCGAGAGGCTGACTGGGATTAGTCCGTTTGCAGAGACGACTACAGGAATAATTTCGGTCGGCAGACCACCCCACATGTCGGTCACCTCGTGAGCCAGGTCCAGATATTTTGTTCGTTTATCTGTTTCGGCTTTCACGAGGTTCTCGTCATACGGAATGGTAATGTCGACCAAAAATATCCTTAACTGTGCCCGGTCCATCAGCACAATATCAGGCTTATTCGCAAGAATAGTCCTGTCTGTGATGATGGCCCGGTCCCAATAGAGCCTGGCGCGATCATTTTCGAGCACAGCTTCCGGCAAGTATTTGTAATACGGCAATTTCCGATCCACGAGACCGTATTTCAGAGCAAGCTCCTGGTGAAGAATTCTGGCTACTAGGTTGTGTCTGTGCAAGTACTCAGAGTTAGAAAGCGCCGAACAACCGGAGATGACATGCCTAAGTGACTCACCGGGATGGCGACAAGCTCGACATATGTCGACGGTGCCATCCTTTAGGATGTATCTCCGACAGTTGTTGGTCTTAATAACCTGATCTTGTATTGCACAGAGAAAACCCTCGGTTTCCCCGAAGAGGTCACCAAAGCGTAGCCAGTGGAGGGAGGCTACTGCGTCTACGAAAGGCTCATGTAGAGCCTTGTAGAACTCCTCTCCTTCCATACTGTCTCCCGGTCGGAAATGCTCTGCACTGCCGGTTCTTGCCATTGCTCGTTGGCTAAGGATAGAGGGGTAAGTCCTTTATCACAAGAAATGACGTCCTTATAGAATGGATCATCCGATCTCGCCAGGAAGTAATCACGGAGGCTGCACACTTCGCGATTATGCATGGTGAGCGCGCTCAGGAAGCCTCGCCCACCATGCTTTCGCGGCAAGTACAGCCTCATTACCGACGATCTCGGATGATGCATCCTATGGGACGTCATGGTAGTGCGAACTTTTCTATCCAGGGCGTAAGTTCAGGCTGAGTCCACCTGAGTATGCCAAAGGTATACATGAGGACAGGCATGACCCAGCCGTTATATGCGCGTGCCTTATTCACACCGGACAAAAGGCTGTTAAGCACTTTGGTCAAGCGTGCATAAAACATGTCGCAAACTGACTGTTTCATACCAGCCTCATCGATACCGATGTTCTGTGACATACCCAGGTATCGGTATGTTTCAGCCTCGGAAAGGGTTCTTAAGTTGACGGGCATAGATAAGTCTATGCCCTCAGAGTTAGTAACCCTTCCCCTTTTAATATGGAGGTCCGCACACTTATCCGTCCCCAGCTCTATTCCAATGATATTGCTAAATTCACAAGGATGTTTAGCAATTCCATAAGATGGGAGCGACTGGAGGCGAATAACCTGAGGTCATCCATATAGAAAAGGTGGGTCACTTTTGTCCCTCCTTTCCGTAGCTGAAATCCCCTCCCGGAGCCCTCCAGTTAGGTACTGAGAGGGTTCAGAGAGAGGCAGAACCAGATTGGACTCAGACAATCGCCCTGGAAGATACCCCTTCTTATCTTTATGTGGTTCTCCGCAGCCATCATCGGCTCGCCCAGATGACAAAGGATCGTACTCCACTGCCCCATACACTGCTCGAGGAAGTCTCTAACTGTACAGTCTATCTTGTACAGCTTGAGGACTCTCTTTAGCCATGTATGAGCACCGAGTCGAATGCCTTTCTGTAGTCTATCCAGGCGGCGGAGAAGTTCCGACGGTTGCGTTTCACCACTTTGCCAATGACCGCGTCAATGAGGAGTGGTTCCTTGGTTCCACGACCACCGCCCCGACATCCATTTTGAGCGCGCGACATCACCTGATTTGAGTCCAGGTAACGAGTGATTCTCGCGCTCAAAATGGATGTTAGTTCTTGTATATGGCGGTATTTGCTCGGGTCTGTGGTACCCGGGTCTTTAGGAACCAAATGGGTGATCCCAGTAGTGAAGAGGCTCGGACGCGACTTCTGGTTGAGAGCCTCTTGAAACTGTCGGGCGAGCACAGTGTGACACACCACGAACCCCTTCAGCCAGTAGTGATGCAGCCCGTCGAGTCCCGGACTTTTCCAGTTCGGGGCCCTACGGACCGCCTCAGCTACGTCATCCGGTGTTATAATGACGGGGTCCATGGACGTTATACTCGCACACTGACTCGCCACAACTTCCGTCCAAGGGCCCTCTCTGTGGTTTACGAGCTCTGACCACAGGCCGCGCCAGAATGCTACAGTGTCGGCCTGATTCGGTGCTGGGCCCGTACCACTTACCATTGGTCGCTCCAATGATTCACAGAGCCTCTTCTGATCACTCTGGAAGAGACGATTCTGGTTGAACCGTGTCGACCTCTCGGTATATCGCCGAATCCGCTTTCCAAAAGCAGCGATTCTCTGCTTCAGATCATCTATGCGCACCGTCAGTTTTTGCGTTATATCCGGCTGGGACAAACTGACATTTGTCCCAGCAAACGCCGTCCTGACGGTGCGCACAATTTTTGGCCTGTTATTGCCTGATCTGAAGCATATCAGTCTGCCGATGAGAGCTCTAGCCATTGCGATACGTTCCTCAATTCTTCTTCTCCATGCTGGGATAGCGCTACTTTGGCCAGTAGCGCGTCCAGCCGTGGAAACCTTGGCGCCTATGATACAGCACACTGCCAGCGCGGCGCCAAAAAGAATTGAGTCCGTCTCGCAAAGTTCAGAGTTCGCATTGGGTTCAGAGCCCTCATGACAGCCCGATTCCGCTTGCTTAGGGCTATGCGGGGAAGTCACGGTCGATTTTCGAGAGGCGTACTGCGCGTTTCCACAATCGCCTCTTCCAATGTACTCCTCTTATTATTATTATTATTATTATTATTATTAAAATGCAAATGTGTTGTCACCCCTGAGGACCAAGGTGGAATGCCTCGTTTCTAGTAAAAAATGTTCTCCGAATCTGTACTGCTTAGCTTATTACTGCTGTGTTTCGTATGGTGAGTATACGAAACACAGCAGTAATAAGCTGCTATTTTACGCTGGTATTCTGTGAGAGCGTCCTTCTCTGGTCGAGCCGACCCATTCGTGCTACAACCATAATATAGTTGCAGCATGGCTCTATTATGTAATGCTTTTGATTAATAACGCGTCAGAACTGTAATTTTTAAATAAGACCTGACTGTGAAAATGTTTTTATTGATTTCCAAATAGATTCTGTATTAATATACATAATAGTATTTCATTTAATTTCTAATAATTTATCGATATGCACAAGTCTTTTTTAGTCGCTTGAAATTAAAAGTCATAAGAATATGGTAACCATGATTTGAAAAATAAAACCTATGATGTATTGGTGAAGAAATAGTTGAAGGATATGGAACTGACCAATGGAGAGCAGACAGAGATTGTGTTGTAAAAAATTAATCATTTAAAAATCGGGTACAGACAAGAATTTGAAAATGAACAGAATTTGAAAATGAATATTGACCTATGGGTATAAAATCTCAATATTTAATATTATTAGGAAAAGCGGCAGCAGCCTGACACAAGTATTATTTGATACTTACTAGGAGACTCCCATTACTGTATTATTTAGAAATAGAAATAAATAAATTTTCATTTTCATTTAGTTATTTCAAATGAAATACAAAATGGTTTTCAATGAAAGTATTTAATTACAAAATGCAAAATATGAATTTTCAAAATAGGATTTCAAAAAAATTACCATACTTCACTGATTTTGACACTAGTTTTTGTTCGAAGAGTTCATCTTTCATTTTGCATCTATGTATCCTCATAATTATTCCACCAAATAAAAATTGTCATTTGACAGGTACAAAATTTAGTAAGCAAGTATTATATTTAAGGAATAGTTTTTGAATATGTGCAACATATGATTTTGTAATTGGTTGTTTTGTTTGACATACAGAAACAGTTCCAAGCTAAAGTACAAAGCTTGAATTCCAAGAGAAAGGTGGTATTTCCAGTTACTTACTCTACTATTAAATAAACCTGGGAATACCATGATTCTCAACTTCAATTTCATCTATCACTGCAGAATACTACCGCCCAACATGGAACTCTACCTACCTACAAATAAATTATCTGTGCCAGCTTGACACAGACTTCAGTTTGATATAAACATTTATTTAATGTGCATTATTTTTATTATATTTTTTTTTCCTTTTTGTTCGTACTTATTACTTGTATAACTTGTATAAACATAATATTTAATATACAAAACTGAGAAATTAAGGTTTAACAAGTTCTCAATTAGGATGTCTATTTTAACTAACTAGTTACATAATATTAACTTCATTAATTCTTAATTATGACGTTATTTGGAGGTGAAATATAAGTAAATTAACCAAATGTATTTTTGATAAAACCAATGCCATTGCTTATTTTTAAGACCACTAAATAATAAAATAGGGTTTATGAATTAATAAACTTGAAACGGTTCCAAAATCAGCATGGCTTGTAATGTTTTTTACAGCGAATAGTAGTTCCTAGCAACAATCTACCTAATTTGGTAAAGACTTGAACCTTATTCAAAACTATGTACTAACAGAACAAGCAAATAAACAACAGAATCTTAGAGTATTCATAAGCTATGCATGCTTATGAACACTCTACAATCAGAACAAACAATACATACAAGCTTGGTATGAAATACTGTCAAAAGCTGTGGTCAAAAGTATTGATAAAATTACCAAACCAGCATATTATATTAATGGGAATTCAAGTGGACACAAAACAAAGAAGAAAAATAACAGTAAACTTTTGATATGGAAAAGTAACAACTTCGAAAAACTTGTAGACTTTTTGTTGAAACACAAAATGTATCTGCTTAACAGCATGTTCAAGCAGAACAAGAACAACAAATGGACTTAGAGGTCCTCAGAAGGTCAATACAAAAATGAAAGAGACTATATCACTAGCAACTACCCAATGGCATTTACAGATAATTCAATCATACATAAATTTAATTTTCACACAGACCATCGCTTAGTTGGAAGCTCTTTTAAATTAAAATCACCAAAATTATTAAGAAAATGTAATTATAAAGAATGCATCAAACATATCAAAGAAGCTAAACTACATGGAAATTGCAAATTCTTTAGCAACGAATTACTTTATATCTACCTAGCTACCCGCCCAGGCTTCACCTGGGTAAGATCTTATTAATGTGGGGTTATTTATATTTAAAATAAAGACCATTTATTTTATCAATTTTATGTTTTTTCAAAATAAACCTCGCAAGTTGGTTTGATACGACCTGGGGACCTTCAAGAAAAGAGCTTACTCCTTTCTAAAGGGCCGGCAACGCACCTGCAATTCCCCTGATGTTGCGGTTGATCATGGGTGGCGGTAGTCACTTAACATCAGGTGAGCCGTATGCTTTTTTGCCCCTCTTCTATAAAAAAAAAGTTTTTCTGATAAAATATCATCTAAGTCACTCCACATCCTCCACAAGCAGGCTATAGGGGAAATCCTCTTCTATTCTATATACCACATTCACACAGTTAAACACATAATGTAGATATATAACAAATGCAACAAAACTCTTTATATCACTTTTATAGATTATAACAAAGCGTTTGTCAGTATAAGCCATGCAGTTATATGAGAAAGTCAAGAGATTGAAGGAATATTTGAAAATACATAAATATAATAAAACCATATTACAGCACCTACGCATACAGCAAAGTAAGAATTAAACTGGAAATATTAGACCCACAGTTCCAAGTGAAAAGAGGCGTGAGCCAAGGTACTCAAAAAGTTGTTCTCTGCTGTGCTGGAAATTGTATTCCGCAAACATGATTGGACACATCTGGGTCTAGGCATTGATGGACAAAAATTAAATCGCCTTAGAATTGCGGACAACATAATCCTATTTTAGGAAACCCAAATAATCTTGCAGTAATGATCCAATATTTGAGTGAAGAAAGTGCAAAGTTAGGACTGACGATGATTATGACAAAAAGGAACCAATTCAAAAAGAATAACAATAATAGTGGGTGTACAGCCTGTGGACGAGTACACATAGCGTCAGCTCATCTCCTAGACATAACAAAGTAAGAAAAAATACAAGAATAGCCGGCGGATAGAGAAAATATTAATCATTGAAAGACATCATGAAATCCAAAGATCAATACCAAAAGACAATTTCAATACACAATACAATTTAAATAATAAAACTTCAATGACAATAATGAAATGAGTCGGGCATTAAAACATAATGAGATCACCAGCCAACGTCAATGTTACTTACCTGACGGATACCGTCATCTTTATATTTTTCTAAGGGTATATTTAATTCCAAATTCCTTTTGTGAGAATTACATTCGATATGTAATCGAATTGTTTCATTTTCTTTTAGGCATTCGTCACATAAAAGACAAAAAGAGTGGGTGATCCCTGTGATAATACAATTTTTCTGATTTTCGTTAGCCATTTTCTGAAAACAAAAGAAATGTATTAGACAAACATTTTGAAATTGGTTGGTAATATATCCGATAATCTTAGTAATAATAAAATTAAGATTAACTGGCTTAACTTAGGTTTAGTATTGTTCGTAGGCTTATGTTAGACAATATGTTCATATGCAATAATTTTTGGGGTGGCTCAAGGGCTATCCAAGACATACCATAACATCTACTGGAAACCGGCTACACCTAGTTTTAATCATGAATAAATTGAATACACCTAAGTTTCTCATTATCTAGCATTGTGTGGTTTTACTTACTGTTTGTTAAACACAATAAATAATTGAAAGCATGTAACTTCTTAATTTTTTCATTAGCATTTACTTCCAAATTTAGCCGATTTGTTACGGTTAGGCTTTTTAGACGGCTTAGCATGAACAAAAATTTTACATTTAGCTTAGCCTACACTGAAAACTCATCCATATGTAAACCGGCTTTGTACAGGGAAATCCCCACAGAACACTATTACTCCTATCGGAGAAGAACGACAACTTCATACAAAATTTAGGAAATGCTATATATAACCACTAGCTCCATCTATCGTCAGCCCCTGCACTTCTAGTGTGGCGGGAAAATTTGACCTTGGTCTTTTTTGTTTTTTTATTTGAGGTATTTTTGGGTTGCCTATCCCAGCGCTAAATAAAAGAAAAAAATTACAAAATTTCTATTTATTTATTCAAAATAAAATACAAATTAAAATAAAAAACATAACTTAAGATAAAATTTCTCCAGCAGCTTAGTTCTTTCTATAAAGACATTTGATGGGTTTAACATGAAAAGAATATCAATATTGATTACATTTCAATTACTTAAGTAAACAATGATAAACAATATATATATATATATATATATATAAGAGTTACAATCATGGATGAATTGATAATATGCACAATCACAAATCACAGAATGTCTACAATAACCAAAATATCAATGCAACACACAAGTGCAAAGTGCAACATTTACAAATAATAATTTTGTTTTGATAATATTTAGTTGTCTATCTATTTCCCTGAATTGAAACTAAAATTTTTGTCTCTATATTATATGCAATATATTAAGTATTGAATTCAGCTTATAAATATAATAATTTTAATTCAAAATTATAAAACATATTAAATATTAGATTACAAAAATATTCGTTATTTCATTTTAAAAATTTTCATATAGAGTACTTTCTTTTTTCAGGTTCAACATTATAATGTTGTCCCTTTTGGAGATCCTGTTTGTGGTTTTGCAGCAATAATTTGCGAGAGACCAGCTTGTGATTCCACAAAATAAAATGGTAATACACTTCGTTAGTCTGGAAATAAATAAAAACTGAAATAAATTATAGTATCATAAAATTATTATATGAAATTAAATTAACATTATATTCATTGACATTACTTTAATAGTAAACCAGTCCCTGCTCATGGCACTACATTACCCTTATACCAATACAAAATAAATGAATGGATCTTGTTCATCCAACTTGCTCTATAATACTATTACAATTAATTAATATAACAAAATAAGATAGTAAATACAATAACTATGTGAAAAGAAGTCTTGTGTTTATCTATTGTTTAAGAACCATTTGATGCATATATTTCTACTGTGTTGTACAAGTTGTGCCTTTAAATTTGATAGGTTTAGGATGAAATGTAATTATTCATAGATTGTGACGCCTGAACTTTCTTAAGGTTTGTTGTTGTTTAAAAAAAAATTGATTGTTAAAAATAATATGCAGTGTGTTGCACTTTTAATAATGTAAGGAAGGGCTTGTGCTAACTTTATAGACTTCAATCCTTTGGATGCTTTGTCCGATCCAATTATTATAAATTAGTTGAAAGCATTAACAGGATTCAAACTACTGTATGTGGTCTGCCCATCCATGTTAGATCCAGATGATGGTCATATGAATATTCATCATCATCTTCATTACAGTCTATCAAAGTCCACTCGTGAAAAAAATCCCCATATAAAATATCTGAGTAATCCTTAAAGAAAACTATATACATACCATATTATCATATACATTATACACTTTACTTACATCACATGGAACTGCAGTTCTCAAGAGCTTTTTCTTGGTTGCATCATTAAATTAACCATCATGAAAATGTTTTTCACACAGCATTCTGGGCTTACTATGTAGCTTTATCTGGAAAGCTAAAGTAGTATAGTGCACTTGGGAAGGAATATAATATTTCGCCCACAATTTACAGCTGAAAACAAAAGATATAATTATTAAATACAAATATTATCAAAGTAGGTCCAATGGTTTACAAACCAATAATTTGTTTTTAAATGGTTATTAAAGAGAAACAATAAGTTGGACAAGAGATTTACTTTAAGGTTAGAACTTATTAAATAGTGTATATGTATATTGTATACGTACCGCAAAATATACTTTACTGCGGGTTTCGGAAACCTAAATAATTTAATGTTGTCAATGGATGGTAAGCTGTTGCACTTAGAACACTATTTCTATTTTCTTTATCCGCCATTGCAGCGTATTTTTTAGTGACTATTTCGTATTTCACTACGAATCATTGACTAACACATTGCACATCATATTAACGAAGGACATTAATCTCAACTCAACATCGTAAACTTGCAAAATCTTAGAAAAAGACACAAGCAAAACAAACATAACAAACAATCATGAACAACAATAATTTATACGGCGGCGCCATATTATGAGAAAAGAGAAATATATACTCATTTAGGTATTTGGTGTTACCAGTAAAAAATATAATTTTCTACTCATTGAAAATCAAAACAAAAAGAAAACATTTTTTTTTACTGTCAAGGATATGCTAATATAATAATGTAGAAAAATACGACAGGCATAGTTATCTTCCTATGGATTATTATTTCTGTATTCAAAATTTTTGAGTGTAATTTATCTTTAGCAAAATCTTACTAATTATGAAACAAGACATTTATCTGACAAATGGCAATAATAAAATTCAGCCACCGTAGGTATTTCATTCTGTCCATACAGAGTTGACCGGGCCTGAAGAAATCCCTCACATATGCTGGCCAATGTCAGCAAAGTACCTAGGGTTGCCATTTTCGGAATTTTAAGTTGTCATAATGAAATCAATTTCTAATACCCCAATACAGCCAAATATTGTCAGGTTTTATAAAACGTCATCCGATCATGCCAGAGACTAAAATAAGAGGCAATCCTGTCAAAATACCAGAAATCTGCCACATTTTGGCACACTGTATGCTAACTATAATAATTATACGTATATTATACGTAGCACGAGTATAATAGCTGGGTCACCGTCATACTAACATCGAAATATTTAATACCAACTTTGAAATAAAAAATTCGACCAAAATTTGTTAAATATCTCGTAGAATTGGAAACTAGCACAAGCGAGATATTGAAAAATATTAAATAATTGAAAGATCGAAATAATTCTTATAGTGTTATATGAAAACAATTAATAAACACAGTGATAAATGGCTGTATAGTGTTGAAGTTTCGATAATAATTAAAAATATGAAGTAAACAAATTGGTGAGGTTATGTAGACATCTGATTCGTGAATATAAACACAGTAGTCTCACGACTATGCGTTTATATATTAACATATTACGTTGAACGTGTACTTGGCGCGAGACACTACAGTGTCTCCGAATTTATTGATATTTTATAAGTACTCGGCGATCCAATGAAGAATCTGTTCTCAGAGTGTTTATCTACACATAAATAAAATGAAAGTGTCTGTCTGTAATATAATAATATATTATAAATTATTAATAATTTATCTTTTGACTGCCTCGTTGGTCTAGTGGTTGTAGTAGTGCGACTGCTGATCATGAGGTCCCGGGTTTGAATCCCGGGTTAGGCCAAAAAATCGATTATTGAATATTTCTGTCAAGAAATTCTCAGTTGCTGCCCGGAGTCAGGAAGTTGGCGGTGTCTCACTCCCGTGCCTCGAAAAGCACGTAAAGGCGTTAGTCCTGCACCTGATCTCTCTTCGGTCGTGTAGGTTTACCGTCCCATCGGATCATGAGAGTGATTAAGTAGAGAGTGCAACTGTGCTTGCACATACACTTGGGCACTATAATTCTGTCCTGCGCCGATGGCTAGTCTCCGTTGAGGCAGGCCGTCGTAACCAAAATTCGGTGTAGAAGATATTATTAATTTATGTGAGATTGTTGAAATTTTTCCGCCTTTCCGAAGTAATCTTCGGAATGGTTAAACCAATTATTTTGATGGAACTTAACGAACAGATAGAGAGCAACACCAGGAGTGATCTAGGGTATATTTTATCATATAAAACGTAAGATTATTTTTTGATATCGACACACACATTAAAAGCAAAAAAACCGCGTTTTTTCCGCAATCACTTCAATCATTTCAATTTCATCCGCAAGTACTGATTGACGCGCTGCGCCGCGCACGCCTGCCGGCCGGCCGCCGCTCTCTATTGGCTCTTTAGGAGTAATAGTACCTATTCTGTGCTCTCGCTCGCCCCCGGTGTGCGGGGTGTGGTGGCGTCGTTTATTATCGTGCTTTGCTGCACTTCGCAACTCCACCTCCTCGCCACACCGCATCTCACACTTTTAATCAGGCTTTTGAAAAGTATATTTTTTGCCGGAATATCAGGAAATTTATTGACGAGGCAGTGATTTTGCCAGAAAAACTTATTTTCGTATCTGGTAATCCTACCAATGAGGCAATCTATGGGAGAGTCCTATGTTCAGCAGTGGACTTTAGTAGGCTGTAACGGTAATAAAACCATATACGCAAACAGCAAAGCAAAAATAAAACTATAAATATTGGACTCAGAGTTCTAAGTGAAATGAGGCGTGAGTTAAGGTACTCAATGTTTCTCAATGTAATGGAATACATGAAAAAACATTTTGCTTACCAAACTGCAATGCACCTTGAGACAGTTACTTTATTTTAGTTTAGTTGTTCCAATTTAGCAATTCTTTTTGCTTGTGTTTTACGGGGAGTCCCTCGACTGTATTGTACGTCATTTTTATTTGGTTGTCGTTGTCAGTATTCGTTAGTATTTACGTAGAAGCACATTGCAGAATATAGAAAGCCCGAAAATAGCTTGCAGGATCCAGCAGAACCTTATCTGGCCTGGTTTTAGTACTCTCGTCCGTAAATCGCAATATTTCTTGCAAGTTATTAAATGTGTGGATGGATTCTGCTGTTTTTGCTCGAGGAGTGCATTGAAGTCTGTCTTTCCGAATATTTTACTGCCAATACCCTACCCAATTCGTCAAAGAGATAGTTGGAGTTTGAATTAAAAAAATATTCAAAATTGTTTATTTCTTTCAAAATATCACACATTACATAGGTATGGGAGTAAGTGAGACATCCTTTTAAGTAAATACATATTTGTGGCAGGATGTCCCGCTCTTCTATAGCTCGAATTACATTTTTTGTTTATTATTTAACTTTAATTACATTTATTAAACACAAAAAAAAAAAACAAGAAACTTAGCTTATATTTATTTAATAAGGGTTTTGTATAAGTGTATGTGTGTTTGTGTGTGTGTGTGTGTGTGTGTGTGTGTGTGTGTGTGTGTGTGTGTGTGTGTATGTGTGTGTGTAGTGTGTGTGTGTGTGTGTGTGTGTGTGTGTGTGTGTGTGTGTGTGTGTGTGTGTTTGTGTGTGTGCCCTCATCATAGTTAAGTTTGAGAAGCCATTCTGTGACTTTTTTGAGCTCATTACAATTCAGTGAATAGATGTTTAGTTTTTTATTGACTACGTTGTATAAATAACCAGCCTGTCTTTTAAACTGGTGATTAGCAAAATTTGTCTTAACTAGAGTTAATTCAAAAACCTTTCCTCAACTATTAATACTTTTGCAGTTGTAGAAAGTTGTTTTGTGTATTGTTAACAATAAATTTAAAATGTATAACTTTCTAACACTCTATAAACCCCTAACTGAGTAAAGTTCTTCTGTATGAAATCTATATGGTTTGTTGTACATTACTTTTATTAATGAACGTTGACCACGTTCTAGTTGTAAGAGTTTCGTTTTCGGAGCACCACCCCAAACTGGTATACAATATGTCAAAATCGATTGGGCTAGTGCAGCATATATTTGAATTAGAAGTTTACAAGTTGCGACATGCCTGAGTGTTTTAAACAGCCAAATAAGTTTTCGTAACCTGTTATTAGTTGCTTCTATATGTGGATACCATGTGAGTGTTTGGTCAATTATAACCCCTAAATTTCTATGTAGTACTAGTAACTTTTTCTATAGTGGGACACATGCAATTGTTGCACAAACCACACTTGTGTATTTTGAGATTAGGTGTTATAGGTTGTGCTCGTTTGTTGATAGAAAAGCATATATATTTTGTTTTAAACGCGTTAAGGGTAAGCAAGTTCATTGTGAGTCAATTCGCAATTTTGGACAGCTCAAGTTCAACTTTTTCGTATACTTCATCCCACGATTTACCCGTGAAAACGACAGCAGTGCCGTCCGCATACCAATAAATTTTACCATTTTCAAGTTTCAATTTAGCGAGATCATTAATATAAATGAGAAACAAGGTAGGGCCAAGAACACTGCCTTGCGGCACCCCAAAGCTTGTTGGGAGATCATTACTAATATAATTGCCTATTCTAGTACTTTGCATTCTATTACTTAAGTAATCTCTCATTAAATCTAGTTGGAGTTTGAATAATTCCAACTATCGCTTAGACGCCTTATGAACTTGAGTGCCTTCGTTATCGACTATCCGTTGGGTTGAGCTGTCGTCAAAGTCTCCTAAATTCTTTGCAATGAAGCGCATCAGCATATTGTGATGAAAAAACATGATGTTAAAAGACAAGTATCCAAGCCAAAAATCTTAATAAAAAATCACTTGGCTATTTGTCAAATGTCAATTTCAGACACTGTCATACTGTCAGTCAGCCAGCTGTCAGTTCAGTTTGCGTTTGGGAGAAGCGGTGATGTGTTGTGCTTTGTTTTAAGATTAAACTCTTCTTCGTATTTAATTTAAATATGTCCTTTTCTTAATTTTTATTTGGTAATAGACAATTATACAGTGTAAGAATTACAAAATACGTTCAGTGTAAAATGATTAGATATGATATTTTGAGTGTTTGGTGCATGTTTCTCGTGTATTTCTTTTTGTTATCCCTGACAAAGGACACAGTTTTTGCCCAGGAGTTAAGTAAGTTTTTATCGTTTTGTTATATTATGTTATACTTTACATTCATGCATAAATTATAATGGATTATGGTCAAAAATAAATATGGTAAACCCGCATTATGAGGCATTCTATATGGGGATATTTTATGCAATGAACTTTGATTTATAATGAATAAAAATAAAATGGTTAAAAGTTAAACAGTATTTCCCTTAATAAGTTCGCAACTGAAATAAATATTTTAAATTATTAAATTTAAAAGTAATATTTTCGCCTAACAACTTCAACTTTGAAATCAAAATTGAATGCTGTTTGTCATATCCTTTTTTTTTTTAATTAAATTTGTATCGTAATCATGACACACTATTAAAAGCCTGCTGCTAAACATAGGCGTCCCCCATAGCTTGCCTATTAGGGGCATTATTTGCCATAGTTGCCAAAATAAGTAGATAGGTTGGCAACTGCAGTTTTCTTATTTTGTATTGTATCAGGAAGATGATGCTGCCCATCTACTTTTCTATTTCCATCTATCGACTTTTATGATACCTATGGGATTTGCATAGCCCAAGTTGTGTAATTATTTTAATTTATTATACATCCAAAAGTCAAATAGTCTCTTAATAACAATACAATATTTTTAAAACAATCAATGTGTGTTTGATAAGTGAATGTTGTTATTGTGTTGATCCTCAAGCTGTGAAGCATATTTTTGTTGCTAAATATACTGTTTTGTGGATAATTATGTTAAAAAAAATTGTGTGTGCTTGTTGCCTACTTTTAGCCAACAATAAAAAGGAGGAGTTTCTCAATTCAAGTGTATGTTTTTTTTTGTATGAATGTTACGCAATATCTTCATCAATTGTGAACTGATTTTGATGTAAATTTTTTATTTAATAAAATTGTGATACTTCAGGCAATTTTCCACATTAATTTGAAGGCAATATTCCATACCGAATGGTGGAAAAATATGGGTGTAAGTTTTTAATGTAACTATTTAGAGTTTTTAGATTCTGTAAGTATTATTCTGTCTTTCCATCCAAATACAATCTGGGCATTTTCAGGACTACAGTGAATAAATAGGCTTTTGTTCACTAAGACAGTGCGTTTTTTTTTAAATATAAGGGTGGCAAACGATCATACAGTCCACCCGATGGTAAGTGCTGTGACCCATAGACATCTACATCTATCCTCGATAACAAATCAAAATGTAGATGCATTGTCACCCATTTGGACTATAATGGAATGCCTTGTTTTAAGTAAATAGGGTCTCCTGTTTTCTATACTCACCATACAAAACACAGCATTGAACTGCTATTTCAGGCTGTTGTTCTGTGAGAGTGTGGTACTTCCCCAATCGAGTTGACCTATTTGTGGTGCTACTATACGAGTAATATATCTGCAGCATGGCACTACCACGTAAAATAAGTAAAAATAATATAAATATTTATTAAAATTATTTATAATAAGTAAAAATAAATTAAACTTAAGTGTACCACCAACTTAGATTTTTTTATTTTTTTATTTTAGTTCTCTAAAATTTATATTTACTTTTCTGTAAGTTAATTTTCTGTAGACTAGGTTTAAACACTGGTCGTGTTTTACTCGTGGTAATCAATAAGCTTAATTTAATAAGAAAGTCTTGTTCTTTAATAGTATGTTTCAGGATTATGTTTATCATTGACTTTATTTCCATATAAAATGGAAGTGATGACTTAATATGCCATTATATCCATTCAAAATAGCTTAACCCTAATAACAGACTAGTGTCTATCTGTTTTGACACCCATTGTTATTATTTGTTTACTTTATAATACATTATTCTTCATATAACAATACCATGTTAAACAATTTTCATTGATTCATTCAATAAATCAAATGGTTAGTTATGCTGTAGTTTTAAGTTATTAATAACTAAATATTATTTGAGTAATATGAGTTTATTATAAAATTATGTGTCTTTCTGCTCTAATTCCAACTAAGGAAATTGTTTTGTCTTTCCTTAGCTAATTTTTACAATTGAAAATTCACATATTATTGATAAAGAAACAGGTAGATAAAATTTAAAATTGGTTTTTACAACAATTAAGGGACCCTAAAACTAAGGATACATATAAATTAATAATATTTGTATAAATTATAATAAAGTAGTTTATGTTTATATCATTTTGTCATATAGCATTTTGTCAATATAACAGATTCAGACTCCTATGCAAAAGAAGAATAAAATAAAAATTATCATAAATAAACTAAAACCCAAAATCTCTTTTCCGTAATGCCATTTTTACTTAAAAAAAAACCTTGGGTGCTAGCACAATAATTATAATATTATTATTTATTATTACTGAAAAATTCTTGATAGAAAAACTCACAAACTGAATTTTCGGACCGAGGATTTTGTAGTTAATGCTGTGTGTAATGAGTAAAACAATTTGAATAATTGTTTTGGGTTACACAAGCCCTATACATTTTTCTATTCCTTTGAGGTCTTTTATCCATGTTTTTTGTTTAAATATGCTGACGACATCCTTTTTTTCTTTTAGTCCCTTATATGTTGTTGCAATTTTATTCCTACCTATACGTGCATCAGCAAGGTGACCTGTGTATTTCTATTTAATCTTTTATGAATTTTGGAGAGCATCTGTTAGTTCGAAATGGTATGGTAATAGATTCCTTCGTAAAATGACTAATCTAATATCTGAACCTGATGTTCATTACTAAAATGTTTGTCTCTAACATTGGATTCTACCTTCCAACGTTCACAGTAAAATATTTTTATATGGGTCTCAATTTTTGATACATTACCAATATAAAATTAAGAATGTGAGTTAAGGATATTCATAATATATGGGAATCCATCATCCAATCAATTACCGTGGATGTCGTAAGGAGACTGTGAGAAATGCCAGGCTTTTGAAAAATTGCTGAACACCATCTCGATTACATCATATACCTTTGTAAAATAAAAACCAAACATCTGGTTACAAAGTCTTCTGGTACTACAACCGTTAATCCACCTGACTATCATGGCAAATCCTCTACAATGATTCATTCGTCGTATTTCATGGTAAAGTAAAGTAAAGTTACAGCCTATATACGTCCCACTGCTGGGCTCAGGCCTCCCCTCATTTCTGAGAGGGTTGAGATCCCCTCATTTCTGATTTCATGGACTGATGAAAAATTATTAAATCAATTTTCCATTGCAGTGCACTAAGAAAAAGTTATAACATACAAAAGAGAAATGTCTCGTTTGTATGTTATAACTTTTTCTTATATTTCGATATTTAATTTGCGGATTCGTATAGAAATTACTATCACACGTGATCTGATTAAGGCGAAGTTATTAGGGATTTCAACAACAAAAAATTCCCGATTCGCTCTAACATCTAGGCATGTTCATCAAAATATGATACCTATGTATTATTTTATAATACTGACTTCATTAACTCATAATGCGCTTTACCATTACCGTGAGAGATGTCGAACTTCGTAGTATATTATAGTCAAACACAAAAAATGGAAAGTGGAATTTACCTGATATATGGATGGCTTTATAAGGGGAAATTTGCCATTGTTGCCACCGACAAAACTCGTGATACTATCCATACCATCTGAATGACTGGCGGTCCACCACTAAGCGATTTAAAAGAAGTTTTCTTCCACAACTTCCTTGTGATTTGAACCACCTGAGATTTTTCCGGACCGATATGACTTAGGGACCTTCAAGAAAAAAACCTATTCCTTTTTAAAACGCCGGCAACGCATCTGCAATCCCCCAGGTGTTGCAGCTGTACCTGGGTGAAGGAAATCACTTACCACCAGGTGAGCCGTATGCTCGTTAGCCCCCTCTCCTCTAAAAAAAAACTTGGCAAGCGGGTTCGCAACCGCAGTTTTTTTTTGGTCGTTATTAGGAAGACGCAGCTGCCCATCTTCTGATTTGTTTCCCCCTGTCGTCTCTTTCGACACCTACGGGATGATATGGAGTAGTGCATATTCTTACACCACCACTGCACAGTGAACGGCAAACGTTTTAGCTTAATTTAATCGATTGTTCAATATTATAGATAGTTACTTATTATTTATTATATTTAATAACGCGTGATATGATGCTATGCGTTTTGCGGATGTAGTGTATAGTGACTATTTATTCTGCATACGGCCAGTTTCCGACTGAATCACGACGAACTTCCGACGGCCATGTCTGACTCACGTTTATGCTAATTGCAACGCTAATATTGTATGAAAACAGACTCCGTTTTCCAACTAAGCGTGTATTGTAAAGAATATTGTCACAACCAATAGGTAGATGATTTGACTGCCTCGTTGGTCTAATGGTTGTATTAGTGAGACTTCTGATCATGAGGTCTTGGGTTCTCCTGGGTCGGGCCAAAAAATTAATTATTGAGTTTTTCCGTCAAGAAATTCTCAGTAGTTGCCCGGAGTCAGGAAGTTGGCGGTGTCTCACCCCCGTGCCTCGGAAAGCACGTAAAGCCGTTGGTCCTGCGCCTGATCTCTCTCCGGTTGTGTCGGTTTACCGTCCCATCGGACTACGAGAGTGAGGAAATAGAGAGAGCACCTGTGCTTGCGCATACACTTGGGCACCGTATAATCCTGTCCTGCGTCGATGGCTAGTCTCCGTTGAGGCAGGCCGCCGTGGCCGAAATTCCGTCTGGAGGACATTATTAGGTAAATTACGATTCAACTATCTAATGAAACGATAGCCTTTTTTAAACATCATCGTTAAGTTACTGCCTACATATACCCACTCGCAGTCCTCCTCTCATTTCTAAAACAAATTCGTCACAGATAACTTTAAGTAGTTCTTAATCATCTTTGGCTACATCACCACTACCATCATTATATCCTTAACTACAGAAAAAATATTCCTTACGTCGTTTGTTTTTCTTAGTGCGGTTTAAAAACCTCTGGTGAGATGACTTTTGATATTCTGCCTTTCCGAGCGTATATTTTTTTTTCAACGCAGATAAACCATAAAATAATTTCCATTACCATTGCCGGTTGTATTC